ACCTTGGTGATAGATAATACAGACCCTGGTGATGGGTATATAGACTCTGGTGATGGGCATACACACCCTTGTGATAGGTATACAGACCCTGGTGATAGATAATACAGACACTGGTGATGGGTATACAGACCCTGGTGATAGGTATACAGAATCTGGTGATAGGTATACAGACCCTGGTGATAAGTAAAGAGACCCGGGTGATAGGTATACAGACCCTGGTGATGGGTATACAAACCCTGGTGATGGGTATACAGACCCTGGTGATGGGTATACAGACCCTGGTGATGGGTATACAGACCTTGGTGATAGATAATACAGACCCTGGTGATGGGTATATAGACTCTGGTGATGGGCATACACACCCTTGTGATAGGTATACAGACCCTGGTGATAGGTATATAGACCCTGGTGATAGCTATACAGTTCCTGGTGATAGATAATACAGTCCCTGGTGATGGATATACAGACCCTGGTGATGGGTATACAGACCCTGGTGATAGATAATACAGACCCTGGTGCTAGGTATACAGACCCTGGTGATGGGTATACAGACCTTGGTGATAGATAATACAGACCCTGGTGATAGGTATACAGACCCTGGTGATGGGTATATAGACTCTGGTGATAGGTATACAGACCCTGGTGATGGGTATACAGACGCTGGTGATGGGTATACAGACCCTGGTGATAGATAATACAGACACTGGTGATAGGTATACAGACCCTGGTGATAGGTATACAGAATCTGGTGATGGGTATACAGACCCTGGTGATAAGTAAAGAGACCCGGGTGATAGGTATACAGACCCTGGTGATGGGTATACAAACCCTGGTGATGGGTATACAGACCCTGGTGATGGGTATACAGACCCTGGTGATAGGTATATAGACCCTGGTAATAGCTATACAGTTCCTGGTGATAGATAATACAGTCCCTGGTGATGGATATACAGACCCTGGTGATGGGTATACAGACCCTGGTGATAGATAATACAGACCCTGGTGCTAGGTATACAGACGCTGGTGATGGGTATACAGACCTTGGTGATGGATAATACAGACCTTTTTTGTGCTTTTTTATTTTCTATTTATTTCGAATTGACACATCTCATATATTGCCAAATAATTACAATGTCAATAAATCCCATTTCAATGCGGCCCAGTTGCAAATCAAACTTTGGATTTTGCTTAACCACAGTTTTTGATAATGGGTAATTCCCTTGAACAACACCGTGCCGCGATTGGTGTTTTTTACATTAAATGTCATAATATACTGTCAAGGTCTGCTTTTAAAGTTTCAAAATCTACTACACTTTTAGTTTGTAGATTATATGCTGATGATAATTCCTTACAACAATGTTCAGATAATATTAATCATATTGAACAAAATCTTAACCATGATCTTAGAATACTAGATGAATGGTCAAAGAAATGGTTATTGAAATTTAACCCACAGAAAACCAAAGCCGTATTTTTTAATTCAAAAAATATGCAGCAGTTTCCTAAATTATATTTTGACAATTGCCAATTGGAATATGTTACAGAACACAAACATCTTGGGATACTTCTGTCGTCCAACTTAGGATGGTCTGATCATATTGATATCATTATAAAGAAAGCATACAAAAAACTGGGGCTTCTTAAAAAACTAAAATTTACTGTGTCAAGAGATATTCTATCCCAGATGTACATATCTTTTATTAGACCACAACTTGAATATGCTGTTGAAGTTTGGTCTGGATGCACAAAAACAGACATTGAGAATCTTGAAAAAGTACAATTATTTGCTGCAAGAATAGTTACTGGGCTTACAATTATTGCTTCAAGAAATTCATTATATTTGGAAACAGGTTGGGAACCATTGGAATACAGAAGAAACAGAGCAAAATTAATAACAATGTATAAAATGCACAATAATTTAGTACCTAATTATTTACAAAATTTAGTACCTGATACAAGAGGCAATATTTCTGGATACACTACCAGGAATTTCTTAAATTATTCTTTGCCAAAATACAGATTAGAACTATATAATAAATCATTTATTCCTGATACAGTTAGAAAGTGGAATTCCCTTAGTCTTAAAACAAGGGAGGCAACTTCTATCAAAATTTTTAAAAACTATCTGCACAACAGTATTGCAAAACCTCAGAAATATTTTTCATATGGAAAAAGGTTTTTGAACATAATTCATACAAGATTAAGACATAATTGTATTTTAAAGTCTGACTTATATCGCTGTAACCTAATAACCAGTCCTAATTGTTCTTGTGGACTACTAGAAGATGCATATCATTTGTTTTTTGCTTGTAAATATTATGTAAAAGCAAGGAATTCCTTAATGAATAAGCTTTTATCATTTAATTATTTATATGTTATAGATGTACATTTAATGTTATGGGGAGATGATTCTCTTACTATTGAACAAAATGTTGAACTTTTCAAAACCATTCAAACTTTCTTAAATGAATGTGGTCGTTTTTCAAAATAAGCTTACTTTTTTAAAAAAATTTCTTCTTACCAATTCAAGTTATACTTGTACACTTAAAACTTTTTTTTCTTTCTATAACTACGTATATGTAGTAGACCATATGTATATATGTTTTTTATTTTGGCAATTTTAACAAAATGTTGTATTAGGAGAAGACTATCTTAGTTTCTGAACTTGTGTCCGATCCTTTTGACTTTGTCAATAAAATATGTTCAATTCAATTCAATTCATAATACAGACCCTGGTGATGGGTATATAGACTCTGGTGATAGGTATACAGACCCTGGTGATGGGTATACAGACCCTGGTGATGGGTATACAGACCCTGGCGATGGGTATAAAGACCCTGGTGATAGATAATACAGACACTGGTGATGGGTATACAGACCCTGGTGATAGGTACATAGACCCTGGTGATAAGTATACAGACCCTGGTGATGGGTATACAGACCCTGGTGATAGGTACATAGACCCTGGTGATAAGTATACAGACCCTGGTGATGGGTATACAGACCCTGGTGATGGGTATATAGACCCTGGTGATAGGTACATAAACCCTGGTGATAAGTATACAGACCCTGGTGATGGGTATACAGACCCTGGTGATGGGTATACAGACCCTGGTGATGGGTATATAGACCCTGGTGATAGGTACATAGACCCTGGTGATAAGTATACAGACCCTGGTGATGGTTATACAGACCCTGGTGATAGGTATATAGACCCTGGTGATAGATAAAACGGACCCTGGTGATGGGTATACAGACCCTGGTGATGGGTATACAGACCCTGGTGATGGGTATATAGACCCTGGTGATAGGTACATAGACCCTGGTGATAAGTATACAGACCCTGGTGATAGGTATACAGACCCTGGTGATAGGTATACAGACCCTGGTGATAGGTATATAGACCCTGGTGATGGTATACAAACTATGGCAATACATAAACAGACCCTGGTAATAAGTATACAAACCCTGTAAAAATAATTAATTTATAAAAGAAATATATGATAAATGCATAAATAAATCAATAAATAAATGCAAAAATCAATCAATCAATCAATAAAGAAATAAAAAATAAAGAAATAAATAAAAATACGAATAAATGAATGCATAAATAAATAGATAAATAATAAATAAATAAATAAATAGAATACGAAATAAATGAAGGAATGAATATAATAAATAGATAAACAAACAAATAAATGAACTTCTTAATGAATTAATCAATTACTTAATTATTAGAATAATAAATAAATAAACAAACATGCATACAAATTAATAAATCAATGAATTAATTAATAGATAATTAATTAATGGATGGAATAATTAATAAATGAAGGAAAGAATGTTATAAATGAATTTAAAAAAAAATACAAATATATATTTTTTAATAAATTAATCAGTTACTTAGTTAATTAATTATAAGAATGATAAATAAATAAATTAAATAAATAAATAAATAAATAAATAAATAAATAAATAAATAAATAAATAAATAAATAAATAAATAAATAAATAAATAAAAACTAACTGTAAAGTTGATTCATTTATTCTTCTGCTTTTTTAAATAAAAGTTGATCGAATTATGCAAAAATTTCTGCATCTGACTATAGTATCATTCCGCATTACTAGTTTCCATTATATATTCCGAATTTCCTCTCTGCTGTTTTCCGATCTCGATGGAAATTTATTTCACGCATGCGCTCTGCCTGGTTATAGAGGCTGGTTACGAGATCCAAAACAGCATACATATGATGCGCTCAGTAGGAATATATACATATTTTATCGATAAATTTATTAGGAAAACCTACTACATACATGTAAATGTAATAGTCTTTCGATATATAATTATATTCACAACTTATAGTGTTATCAGTGATTTACCGTTATTTCAATTATGACCATTTACACGAAAAAGCTTTTCTTATGGTCATGTAGCTATAATCTCCTCCTTTTTTTTCTTAATACCGGGCTCGATGGTATATGATGTTCTAGAAGCTTCCGTCAATATAAAGATCGGTGAATGACGAAAATATTTTGCACATTTCCCTTTTTAATCGGTTATCACAACTTATTTCTTTTATATCATTTAAATCGAGTTCTAACTGAATAATTCAGTGATGACGTTTTATGTAATAAATAAACGATTGCTTGTTGTCAGTTTCATTAAAAATTGCCAGTAACTTAGATCCGCCAACCGGAAACGCCACCGTACTCACGTTTTAGCTATTTCATGGCTGTTTATAGAAAATGAAAGTAGACTTTTAATTTAATGTTCGATACTAACTATGCGAGTGAAATCTAAATATAGTTTACGGACATCAGCTTGTATCTAGTGTATTGTTAGAGGAGTAAGTAAGAACTCTGGTGCACCCGTTTCGGAGTTTATTTGCAAAATTTATTAATTTATAAGTATAGATTCCCCATCTCTTAAAAAATAAATATCCGGATTTTGAACGGGAATGGTCTGACTTTTACGTGTTGTATCACCTAAGCACTTCCTGGCAACGGAAGGAGATTGAAGTCGGTCAACAGTAAATTGTTCACAAAATAAGCATGGATTAATATAATATATGAGGGATATTGATTGTTAAGCATCTACAGAGGTAAATTGATAAAAAATCATAAAAATAAAACGAAAATAACCACAAATTTACACTGAATTTAGAAATTAAAATGCATAACGTTCAAACACCCGAGTTGTTCTCGTTTTCCCTAAGTAGTGCTTGGAGGCTGTAACCTATAGGTTTTTCTTATATATCCCAATATGACAGTGACAGAATCAAAGCAACAATCCACTAACAAGCGAGGGCGAATGATGACGATTGCAGTTATGGGTCATATAATTATACTTCAATGTATCGTTGTCTAAAATTTATTCATATAGATTAAGCTAAATTTAGTTAAAGATAATTTTATATTATGTAAATAAAAAGCAACCGTAAGTAGAAAAGATTAACAGGATTGAGTGGCAGGGAAGTGTTTTTTGTGTCTGGTGGGGAGGAGGAGTGTTTCTTAATTTGCCTAATATAACAATGTCCAAAACTAAAGAAATTAAGTGATTGTTACTTAAAGTTACTACAGTTGAACTTCGGTAACTTGAACACTGATATCTCAAATACCATGGATATGTCGAAGTGAATTAAGTCCCAACCACTTATTCTTTAAGTATTTAACCCTGAATATCTCGAAGATTTTTCTCGGTCCCATTGACTTCGAGATAACGAGGTTTGACTGTATTTTCATGTATACAGTTTGTTTATTATAGTAATATATTATCAATTGTTGTTTTATCAAATTTAATTGTATTTAATTACAATAAAACATGGTAACAGAGAACACACTTCTTATATATTCACGTTCATAGCAATTTTAAAGTAGTTTTAAAGTTCACATAAACTAACCAGAAATAGGGAAGTACATTTGAAACAAATAAATTTGTTTGTCCTTTGCACTTCACCATAACCATGTTTTATTATAACCACTTCAGTTGATTTTCATTTCTAATTTCTTTACAAACAATTACATTTAATATCTTAGGAGTGTGAAGGAAAATGGCAGCTGCCAGCACACTGCTTCCAGAGACACAGGGGGTCCAGTTCACAGCCCGCCCAGCTGTCCTCCGAACCAAAGAAAACATAAAGCCCAGAAGTGGCCGGTCATCTTCTCTAAGTAAGATCCTTCAAAATGAAGTTTAGTTTTTTACCAGAAAGAGTACTGGACACAGGACAAATTTCACTTTTTTAGTTTTTTACCCAATTGCTCTTATTCTGGAAACTGAGATTTAGATGAGGCTATAAACTAACTCAATATAAAGTAGCAAAACCACTTAAGAGCAATTCAGAATGGAATAGAATCAATTTTTAATGCATTGGGATGCATGAACAAAAGAAAGATTTCACAGAATGCAGTATCAAGCTTTTTATGTAAATGCAAGTAAATTCATTCCATTGTTAAGTATCCACTGTTAAATGTTGCATTTTTTTTTAAAGTATTTACAGTAACAGTGCACCAGGAATTGACTTTCAGTATCAACTTGATTTTCTGTTTTGCAGGCTCTGAGGGAGGAATCCAGCCTGTCAATGCTAGCCTGTCTAGTATTGAGGTTGAGGCTCTCCTCAGGGAGAAGGTGAGGGCCAAACACCAGAATATAATGCAGGTGAGTATCACAGGCATCTCAGGCCTCATTGTATAAACACTGTCTACTTGTTATTGTCTACCTAGTCAATATCACAGGCCTCATTGTATAAACACTGTCTACTTGTTATTGTCTACCTATAGTCAATGTCACAGGCCTCACTGTATGGAGGCTTTCTTACTTTCTCTTCTTAATTCAAGAAAAATTGCAATTGCTTATCACTGAATGACTTTCTTGTTTTAGATTTTTCTTAAAAAAATTACACACAAAATTCTAGCAGATTAGTTAATATGTAATGTGATCAATGTACTAAATGTTGTGTGAAAGACCAAACAATTAAGTAACTATATAGTTCTTAAGTTACAACTCTCATATACATGTTCCCATTGAATTTCCAATGGAATACAGACAGAATATTATGAATACAGTACTCTTGTAAAAGGGTTCAGGGTACTGATCGAGTGTTAACATCTCATGAAAACTTAAATATGTATGATTATAGAGAGATTGATAAACAATGTATCTTCAAATTTTGAACAAATATATGTATCATCAAACATTATAGACATAGGATACTCAAAAAAAATTATAGAAATCTATAAAACATGTTGTACAGGCTTAATTATTGTTAAAACACACATTTATCACAAAACTACCCTATCAAACCAGCCTTGTTTATATTTATTGAAATTCAATGCAAAATCATGAAAAATTGAATCCCCCAAAATAAAATGTGAATTTACTCTGATTTTATCATGTAACAAAATTAATTTGAACCTAAAGACAGCAGAAAAAAAGAAAACACACATATCCCCACTTTCTCCAGATTTTGGATATTCTATTCTATGATCTTAAAAGCATGATCATTTAATACTAAGAAGGAAATTTTCTTAACTGGCATTGGTTCTGCTATTTATTCCAGACAGGATACATTAAATTGCTTGCAATAAATGATACATTAAACAGGTTAATATTTCCAAATTGATAGAGATTTGAGTGTTATATAAGACCCACAGAGTGATATACACATTGACAACAGCTACTGTCTGTTTTTAAATTAAACCAATAATCCCACTATGATGTGACCTTGTCAATGGCCGGATTACTAATGGCCCTGGCAGTTAGCTGACAAAAACTTTAATCTTGGGCAATGTACCTTTAAATTTAACAGCATTGATTAGTTCCTATGTTATCTTTGATACCCATTGGGTGAGGTAAAAATGAATGGCTGTAATTATAAGTCCAGCTATTTAAATCAGGGATCAGTCGCAGGAAATAGATTTTGTGCGGTGATTTAATCGATGAATATTAAATAGTTTACTTTGTTTAGATTGGTATGTGGATGCATGACCACTTTGCCGTAAATGCTATTATATCTTTATATTACCTAGATCTTTTTACACAATTATAATGAAACGTCTCTTTTAGCTTGATTGCTAAGCAAAGTCAAGTCAGTGAGATGATGATATCTTTCAGCATTTTACAAATTTGTGTAGTTGCCATGTTTAGTTCCCTTTTGGGTGATCTATTCAAAGTAAAATGATCAGACTTACATCTATTTAAATCAGGATGAGATGCTAGCAGAGTTGACCTTGACATAAGGATTTAAATTAAGAGCATGAATTTATGTTAAAGATGAACTTTTCTAAATATTATCTTCTTATATATCACACATATGTAAATCAGGATATCATAGATGACCTTGACCCTGAAGTCATTCAACGATAAAAGTTACCAATGTTATGGATGACCATTATTTTCTAACTTCACACATATATAAATCAAAATGAAATTTTTAATACCAATATCAGAATCAACTTTGACATTGTCAATTGACCTGAGGTTATTAAATGAAACATATTTATTTCTGTAGAGCATGACCTATTATTATTATTTCCTCTAATTTCATAGATTTGTATATCAGGGTGAGATACTTCAGTGGCCTTGATATTGGACTTGTTAATTAGCAAATAAAGAATGTTTATCTCTTTTGAGGATGATCTTCAGATTAACACCTACTAATTTTACATAGGCCAGCAACATAAGATATTTTGAGTACTATCATTAGTATTGATATTTACCTTGACATTCGACCTTGAGATTGGAATGAACCATGTTTAAGATGACTTTTTTTTAAAGATGACTTGATATGCTCATTGCATCTTATTTTGTAAAAAGCAGGATGAGATAATTCAATTACCACTGGTGTTCTCCTTGACATTTAACCTTGTCTTCAGTAAATTAAACATGCATACCTCTGTTGTGGATTATTTTTTTCTGTTTATCATCACACTTAGGTACATAAGGATGAGATATTTTTAATACTGCCATCAGAGTTGAACTTGACAGTGGTACTAATGTCAGGGCTTTATCCCAGCTCATCACAAAAATAGAGTTTTCATTTCATGAATTTGATAGTTGTAAAAGCTACTGCATAGAACTTTGGTGACTGTCAAGGCCCATGGGCCTCTTTTTACCCCAGAATTTATTACATTATATTATATTTTTTGTATAGAATTGGCTCACACATATTTTTGTCTTTTCAGGCCTTTATGACTTATGATGTTGAACACAATCAAGGGGTAACAAAAGGGGAATTCCGTCGAGTGTTAGAATCCTTTTGTCTCCCCCTGACCTCAGAACAGTTTGAGGCAGTATTAGCCAAGGTACATAACTCTGTACTTGTAGTTGACCTTAAGTGTGACACTCATACCCTAACCTATTAAATTGTGGCTTCAGTTTGCCTCTTACACCCAGTTCTATGTCTGAATCATCTTAAGTGCACCCTCATTTGAGTTCAATTAAAAAAAAGATAATAAATGAAGTGTAAAAATAAAGTGCAAAATATATCTCTCTTCATTTATTCATCCGTATAGTTTTCTTTGATAGCACCCTATGTCATTTTTTGGATACATCACCCTTTTGTTTTTATTTCAGTCGCTATAGAGATGCCACTGTTTGATTGGGGTCAGGTTATTTTAAGGAATATTGTGTTCCTCCATAAAATTCATATCAGCCTGCATTTTTTCTGGATTTCTCTAGTAGTTTATGTTATTTAGACTTTTTTTTCCTTTATTTGTAATTTGAATTTTTTTAATTGCTAAGGTAAGGTTGAACTGCTTGGCATATATTTCAGTATAATCATTTTCTTAAACAAAGACCATGATTATCTAACACTGTGTCAATCATCATTGTTCGTAGGGGACCAATGTTTGTGGATTCCGTGGGTCACCCTTACCCATGAATTTACATCCCCATGAGCATTTATTTTGTAAACATATTGATTCATTGAATCTACCATATAATGGAGTAACCCATGAAATTCATGCCCATGAAAGTAAAAATTTTTCTTGCCATGAACATTGACCGCTACGAATTAAAATGATTCCACAGTATAACACTTCTTTTGTCAATGCATAAGTGAGTTTATGAACATTCAAAAATCATTAAATTAATATTTGTGATATCTCCCAAAGCACGCTCTATTTCAGAGAGTGATAGAGGAAAAGTAAATATGTATATCAACTTTCTGGTGTCTACGAAAATATCAGCAATCATGGTCTTTTGCAAATTTTGACTTGTTTTTAATCATTTATTTGCTTATCATTCTAACATGAGAATGGAATGCCAGGTTCTTGATATAACCTGTAACAAAGAGCATGCCACTGTATCTTATTAATTAACACTATTCTTTTGCTTGACTTCCATTGGGGAGGGTATATTGTTCCCCAAAATGTGACCTGTCACTGATGGTACTTAAGTAAAATGCATGTCTAAATTTTAAAATTTCTATTTTACATTATATTTAGTTTAGTCCAAAAGCATATGTAATAAAAATACCTAATACATGTGTAGTTCTATTTGGTATTACAATTTTTACATAATTTTTTTTTATACAGTTTCCAAAATGTTGTAAATCTTCATACTGGTACAAATATAATGCTTCCCTCAGTTTAACAGTTTGTACCAATCCTTCTATTTTTGATTTATTTCATTCTAATCAAAACACATACTTCAAATTTGAAATAGTTTATCAAATTAATGATTTTATTTAACAAATCACCAGTTTAAATTGAACATGATGGCTTAAGAATGTGTACATTTCCATCATAAGCTTATCTAGTGCTATAGACTGGATCACAAGAGAATGATGTTTCTGCATTGCACATTATTAATGTCAGAGAAGAATTGCCTTTTTTTGGAGTGTAATTTAGTCCGGTGTTGGCTAGCTCGGAGATGATATCTCCCAGGATGTATTTTTTTCTCGTGACTTTATTTGGTATATGACTGTGTGAAGTGGTCTAAGTACTAATCCATTCTCCCTCCCCCCACTAGGTGGAAAAGAACCCCAATGGGACGGTCAAATATCCAGACTTCATGGAGAAATTTTATGGACAACCTCCAAGTTCTGTCAGTGGTGGTCAATGGGCTGGATTTCAAAAGTAAGTCCACAGATTTGGCAGTGTAATATTGTAATGAATGTAGTGTTTGCAGTTCTCTGGAAATAATGTAAAGAAATTTTGTGTCTTGGTATGTGAGGTTGTCTTGAGTTTAATATGATTATTTGTAGAAGAGGCATTGTGCATGTTTGTCTTGTACAGGTCCTGAAATGTGCAAATTTATTTCTCTTCCAGATTTTCTCCCCCTCCTGCAGCAAGGGAGATAAATATTGACATGATTGAAAAGATGCTAAAAGACAAGGTAAGGGAGATAAGCATTAATATGGTAATAAATAAGAAGAGCATATGTTTGAAATTATATTATGATAGTCTGCAGTTCAGTGACATCTAAGTATTAGTATTTATTTAATTTTTACAGATAAGTCAGAATTTAAAGGCTGTTGTGAAGGCGCTACAGCTGTTTGACTATAATAGAGATGGGAAAATCCAGAGACATGAACTCAGACGAGTAATTGAGAACTACTGCTTCAAGCTGTCAGATGACCAGTTTCAGAAGTAAGTCATTCAGTAATTCAGGGATTAATGGTTATATGTATATACATCTATCCCTTCTCCAATTCAAGCCTTTAGCTTATTCAACAATACTATAATTTAAAAAGGTTTTTGCACAATTATCCCACTCATTCTACTAGCTAGGATTTTATTTGTAAGATATTATTAGTAAGAGAATTGTTATTTACTTCCATATAGATTGTGGCTGCGATATGACTTCCATCACACTGGTTTGGTGAATTATAAGGAGTTCTTGTCCAGACTTGGGGTCTCTGTTGGTAACCAGGGTCGTCCACCAGTAGACGGGGCAAAGGGAGGTAATCCTGAGTTTTTTTAAAGTTTGATTGACTCCGTCTTCAAAATGCTTATTTAAAACATTAATTATTTTAGTTAAGTATCATTGAAGTGTCTAAAACATGCAGATTTGTAGATTTTTGACATGCCAGGGTTTTGTCTTTTTTGATTTAGTGGCAAGTTTACAGGCCGAATGGTAAAGGTGATGCCTCACACCTGTCGAAATGCATGTCCTCACTGTCTGTTTCTGGTCCAAATATGTTCACTGTGAATAAGATTCATCATGCATGTCTATTGTTCTTTGTAAATATTTTATATAGAATGCATGGTCAAACATGTATCATCACTTTTATTTCTGTTGATATACATTTTGCATGATATTGCTTGTTCAACACTTTGACAGTATTTTTTATTCAAAGTTGCATCAATTCATTGTTTATGGGTAATTGCCTGTATGGCAGACACATTAAAATATAACTTTTGGTTTTGTTGATCCATCACACTTTCATGCAAAAGATTAAACTTATCTGTTCTAAGCATCACATCTTCAACATTTCATGAAAATATTCATCATAATGAATTATGCCTGATGCAGTTGAGGGCTATGACACAACACATGCATTTCTTATATGCTCTACCTATAGTTTGGTAGGCCATGTTAATGCATCATTCATGAAGAAAATTTTCTTTTCTGTTCTATTTTGTCAACCAATCTCATGTTACATACTCCTCAGCAATTTCATTTTTTTTCCTATGACATAGAAAGTCACTCTGACTGGTAATAGTTTTAACTAATGAACTCTGTATTTTCAGCCCTTTTGTGGCCCCAGCAGATCCCTGCCTCAAACAGTAAGATCTTTAAGCAGAGGAAGGATGATGAGGAAGCTTTACAGAGATTGAACTTTGACCAGATTGAGCTAGAGTTCAGAAACAGGGTTAGTGTACTCTCTAAAAAAAGGGATTATCTATATCACTCATCCTTACAGCATTCCATCATCATTTACTCTCTGAAAAAATGCATTGATTTTATGGTCTTATAGTCTTTGATGATCAGATTTCTAAGATAGGAATATCCAAATTTCAAATTTACAAAAGGTTTTAAAAAATTTCAAAATGGATCCCACTCTGGTTGTAGATGAAGAAAAACTATCTGAACCTGAAGAAGATTTTCCTGACCTTTGACCAGCACCTGGATGGTTTCATTGGTCTGGAGGATCTCAAGTCTATTCTGTGTCAGTTTACCATCCCAATGTCTGACCAACTCTTCAAACAGATGATGGAAAGGTGGGGGTATTTTGTCAACTCATGAGAAATTATACAAGCATAATTTAAGCATCTGAATGGTTGTAGAAAACCATTCTACTGTAAATGATAGAAAAAGGATTATTATGTTGTTAATTAATAAGATTATAAGGGGAATAACTCTTGGGTATAACATTGTTTTAGGTGTGGTGTGAGAGGAACAGGAAAAATTTCCTGGGAGCAGTTTTTGGACAAGTTCCAGGATCCCCAGGGAGGGGGAAATGGACAGACCATTCCCATGAGACCCAATCACAAGTAGGTCAAATAATGTGAAATATCTTACTATTGTGTATAATTCATCAAACTTTCACTGATCTGTAGTAATATCCATTGTTACTCTTGAGAGTTATATTAATAAAATTTTGACAGGTTTTTCCCGATCCGTGAGGGAATACAGGTGGTGCCAACAGATGATATATGGAAGTTACTGTATAAACATATTCAATCCCACTACCCCTCTTTGAAGCAGGCCTTTCTACAGATTGATATTGTAAGATATGTTTGCAATACATTTAATGAGTTAATATTTCTTGATCATGCCTTTAGGTGAAGTATTACTAAGTGAAGATGATAAGACAATTAATTAATTTGTTCAATGTAAAAATAAATTGTTATTATTTTATTCTTGTTTTCTCCATTACAGACTCGTAAAGGAAGAATAACGAGAACCGAGCTGAGAAATGTGATAGAAAAGTTTGCCTTTAGATTGGACAATGAGCAGTTTAAACAGTTGATGTTAAAGTTAGATCCCTTTCACACCAACAGCATCTCCTATCATGATTTCCTGAAACTGTTTGAGGAGACAGACACTCCAGTAAGTGTGGATGCAGCATTCACAGTCATTCAGAATTTGTTACTTATTGTACTCTACAGAAATATGTGTATGTTTAATTTTGATCTCCACAGTTATACATGTAGATTTACTGTTTGTTGTGTGCTGCATTTTACAGGAGGGACACAAATGGCTGAAGTCTGTACATCGTTTCAACGAGACGCCCAAACCAGCCATCATGGCTTGGGAAACAGTAAGACTATCACATATTTGACTTTATTATTATGATTAGAGTTTCCTGACTAAGTTTGTCAGTCAGTTCTTTTTAACACTGTTGATTACTGTTTTTATTGAATTGACAGATTGAGGAGATTCTCCGTGAGAAGATAACAGAGTACTGGAAGCCTGTATCGGCAGCTATCATGGTGGCCGATACTAAGGGGGATGGTTACATTTCTATCCCCAAACTGAAGTCTGTTATAGATAACTGTGTGCTGCCCATCTCAGAAGATCACTTCAAAAGGTCAGTATAAATTTGGTTTCATTTGTAACAGAAATGTTCATGTCATGGGGAATACTATATATTACTGATAAACCAAAGTAATTTGGTAAACAAAATATTCAAGCAACTAGCTGAGACAGTATACCCACAATGAAAATACACTGTATTACTATCGATATTTCAAGTGTACACAGTTTTTAAATGTATGATTGTGCTATGTTATAAGACTTATGGAGTAACATTAGACTTGTATTTAGAAAGTAATAAATGTTTATATTTTACAGTATGGTGTCTCGGTGTAAGGATTGTGTTAATAATCAGATTAATTACGTGGAGTTCCTGGAGATGTTAAACGTTGACGTAAGGCCTGGAGATTTGATCGGCCTCAGTTCCCAGGTCCAACAAGGCAGTGAGGAAAGGGAGGCAATCAGGATGAAAAACCATATAGCAAGGTACATGTATATAAAAAAAAATAAAGCAAGCTATAATAATAAAAAAAAAAACAAACAAACATAATCTTAGGTATTCAATATTGTATTCTAAAGATTCTTCTGGTTTACCTCTGCGTTTAAAAGTTTAAATGATATTTTGCAGAAATTACCAGTAAAAAAAACCCATTATTTGGAAGCATTAATTGATACATATTACACATATATTTATATTTTAGGAGTATGAGAGTTAATAGAAGGGCCCAGAACCGTACCAACACAATGACCGCTGATGAGGTCATCGCCCGGCTGAAGGACCGTATGTCCCAACACAAGGTTCAGATTAGACAAGCCTTCCTGTCATTTGACAAATCAGGAAAGGGACGAGTCACCAAGAGGAACTTCAGGGAGGTATGTTAATCATTCCTGGGGCTAATAGCTATGCAGACATTTTTGTGTTTGGATAGAACAAAGATATTCATGGCAAATTAATAAAAGACTTTAAATTTGCTGTGTATCCAGTTTCTTCATATATATTTTTTTCTATAAAGTTTGAATAGTAAGCTGTAGTATAACAATTTGTAAGTGTTTCTGTTCGTCCATAATGAGTCTAATGGTCGAACTGTACTTCATTAACTTTAAATCAAGCAGGTGTTTCTGTGACTTAATGTAGAGCAGAATAACTGAGTTATTATCCCTGTTATCACTATTGTGATGTGTCCATTGATCAGGTTCTGGGAACGTTTGGTATCCTGATGACCGACGACCAGTTCCAGGAATTGACCGAGCGTGTAGGCTTCATGAATGGTCAGATGGAGTACTCAGACTTTGTCAGTGCCTTTGAGGATCCGCGGATCCAGGGACCAGGAGATGAGATTCAGAGGACGGGCAATCATCGAGTAAATCCTATCCGAGGCGATGAGCGGGGAATGACGGCAGATGAGGTGGAGGCCAAATTAAGGAGTAAACTCCGAGAAAACTTTGCAGTAAGTTTATAGTCTTAGGACTATGTGCTTTGTTTGTACATGGATTTCTAACACAGAGTCAAGGTATTGGAAAAACAGAGTTGTTCAAGAGCATATACTTGATATATAATTAACAAAAAAATTGTTAAGAAAATGTTCACTATTTGAGTTCTTTTTGCATTTTCCTTCTTGATGGTTGATACTTGAATATTATTCTTAGCTTTTTGTATGTGTTAGATTTAATTTAAAATGAGATGTTATAAAATAGTTTTTGTTTTTTCCCCCCAGAATCTGCGAGCAGCATTTTACAAGTTTGATGAGGACCACAATGGTTTGATCAACAAGGCCAACTTTAGGAGGATTTTAGATTCTTTTATGTGTATAATGTCTGACAATGAATTCCAAGAATTGTGTAAGAGAATGGGAATTACAAACTCCAGTAAGATTTCTTATGAGGAATTCCTCCAAAGGTTTGAGACCAGGGACACCGCCGAGGGACACAAGTGGCTTAACTCTGTTCACAGGTCAGTGTTGGATTTTTGTTAACCAAAAAAAGTCTAATCAAGTTTAAAAAAAAAATGACTATCTTTTTCTGGGGGTAGACAAGTTCAGAGCAATGTAAAAATGATATTAATTTCTGTTTAATTTCATGGCATAGTTTCCTTTCTAGTGCAGGTACTGAATTGAGTGGTACATTCCGTAGATCATCAGTTATATTTATATAATATTTCATTTCTACAATTGTTTCCAGGTATAACACCACCTATCCCACACCAGAGATGACAGCAGAGTCAGCACACGAAGCATTAAAACTGAAATGTCACAGACAATGGAAGGATTTAGCTCAGGTGAGGCTGCTTCATGGGTCTCGTGTCCAGCTGTTGATCAGATGGTTTAAGTCTATTGCTCTTCAGTTTCTGCTACAGCCTAGATTAATTGAAATTGTTCTTGTAGGCATTCACACAAATTGATGCCATTGGAACCAAAGGAGTCCTAAGGAAGAGAGAGTTAAGAGACTTGCTGTTCAAAATGGTTATTCCTATGGGACCTGAGGAGTTTAAAAGACTTTGGGAATTGTAAGTACATGTATGGTTGTTAACAGAAGAAATGTACATGCTTGGATAATAAAAAGTATTGACATTACAATATTTCATACCATCCCTTTTGTAAAATTAGTATATTTAAATGAAAAAAAGATGTTTACTTCAAAAGAGTAATCGTTAATTTATATGAATTAATAATCTTTGAAATATATTTGTAAATAAGTGCTCTACCTGTTTTCAGCTATGATGAAGATGGGAAAGGCTATGTTAATTATCAAGACTTTTTGGAAAAACTCGGAGCATCAGAATTCACTCCTGCTGATACGATGGGAACCAGTACAAACATTATAGATACCAGTCATAAAACGATCATGGATCACAATGATGACCAGCTGGTCAAACATCAGAGGATGACTAAACACCAGGCAGATAGGGTGGCCTTCATGAATGCTGAACAAGTCGAGAAACTACTCAAGTATGTGGTTATACAAATGTGTTGATTTTATGAAGAGATCTGTAAAATCTTTTTATCCTACTTTCAAGATCACCCAGTTTTCAGAGAAATTAATGGGATTGTGAAATGATTCACAAAATAATTCAACAAATATGACAATAATGACATATATAGATATTAAACTTATGGTTCAAAAGTTGCATCCGTACTTTAAAAAAGAAAAGAGACTATAAAATATTTTCAGACACAGTACATGTATTATAAAATTGACTTCTTTCAGGGATAAGATCAGAGATAATTATAAGGACACATATGATGCCTTTAGGAAGTATGATACACAGAAGAAGGGGTCACTATCAGTAAATGAGATACAGAATGTTCTCAATGATCTACACTTCTTTATGAACGATGAACAATTCTTCAAGCTCATAGACAAGTAAGACTTTAAATTCAAAACCTACATTTTGTATGCTCTTCTCTAAATCTTTTTTTTTCTACAGATTTTTTCATGGCAAATTTACAGATTGTTATTAAACCTCCAATTATCTTTTCTTATGCTTTAATCCTTGTAACTCATTGTGACAAATTTTCTTTTAAGAATTGGTCTAGGCACCAAAGGGAGTCGTCTGAACTATGAGGAGTTCCTGAGGGCCTTTGAGGAGGGTCGTAAGGATCATTACCAGCGCCCTCTACCTGAGATCAGGATCCAGGAGTGGGGCGGACTCAGTCCTCAGGAGGCCGAGAGCAAACTCAGACAGATTATAGAGACTCAGGGAGATGTTCTTGGAAAGGTGAGAACAAACTCAGACAGATTATAGAGACTCAGGGAGGTGAGAACAAACTCAGACAGATTATAGAGACTCAGGGAGATGTCCCTTGAAAGGTGAGACCAATCTCAAACAAATTATAGAGACTCAGGGAGATGTCCTCGTTAAGATGAGAGCAAACTCAGACAGATTATAGAGACTCAGGGAGATGTCCTTGGAAAGGTGAGAACAAACTCAGACAGATTATAGAGACTCAGGGAGATGTCCTTGGAAAGGTGAGAACAAACTCAGACAGATTATAGAGACTCAGGGAAATGTCCTTGGAAAGGTGAGAGCAAACTCAGACAGATTATAGAGACTCAGGGAAATGTCCTTGGAAAGGTGAGTACAAACTCAGACAGATTATAGAGACTCAGGGAGGTGAGAACAAACTTAGACAGATTATAGAGACTCAGGGAAATGTCCTTGGAAAGGTGAGTACAAACTCAGACAGATTATAGAGACTCAGGGAGGTGAGAACAAACTTAGACAGATTATAGAGACTCAGGGAGATGTCCCTGGAAAGGTGAGACCAATCTCAGACAGATTATAGAGACTCAGGGAGATGTCCTTGGAAAGGTGAGAGCAAACTCAGACAGATTATAGAGACTCAGGGAGATGTCCTTGGAAAGGTGAAAACAAACTCAGACAGATTATAGAGACTCGGGGAAATGTCCTTGGAAAGATAACAACAAACTCAGACAGATAATAGAGATTCATGGAGATGACCTACGTCCTTCCATCTGCTAAAGTTACCATATGTTGACCTCCCTTGAAATTTGAATTGTATTCAGCTGTTGATGAATCCTTACCGTCTTTTCAGGCTTTTGCTTCCTTTGATAAAAATCAGTCTAACCTGATTCCTATGAAGGACTTCAGAAGAGTGCTGGACATCTTTGCCTTTAAGATGACTGATCCACAGTGGCGCCACCTAATGAGTAAACTACAGGTGGTGGATAAGTCTGTCAATTACTTATTGTTCCTAGAAAACTACAATATGTCTGACCAAGAGGTGAGTCAATTGCATTAGTTCAAAACCTGATAAAATCTGTATTGTCAAGCCTTGCATCTATTTTAAAGTAACAGGTCATTTGCATAATGGTAGAAAATCACAATGCAGTAAATGGAAAATTCTTACAAAATGATTAAGGCCATATATCAAGTAATATTTTGAACTTTTATTTGGAATAAATGAAATTTTATTGAGAGCTGTAAATTGCATTCTATGCATGACTGTCTTCAGGATGCAGAGAAATGGCTGGCAGCCCTACAGAAGCAGATGAGGAACCAGTCTCAGCCCCTGATGCCTATTGATGAGGTTCAGGAGAAAGTCCGGGAGGCAGTACATGCCCACTTCTACACACTGGCCAACCTCTTCAAAGAGGTGGACTACGCCAACATTGGTGTTGTATCTAAAGAGGACTTCAGAGACTTGATGGATAAGAATGTCATGAGATTCACTGATGAGCAGGTGTTTGAAATATTTAAAAAATATATCCTCTAGTATCTGTAGATACAGTCAACACAACACCTTTATAGATAAGGAACAGAGATGACTTCCGATAATTAAGAGCTTTTCTCTTTTTAATCTTTTTTTGTAATTCTGTTGCAGTTTGACAATCTATGGGCGTCATTACCTGTAAATGATTTTGGAAACTTAGACTACAAGGAATTCCTGCGTCGTTATTCGTCCAACATGGAGGTCCCTCCTACTCCACAGAGACCAGCATCCACGATGAATGGTCGCCCCGGGACACAGATGTCAGGACGACGACTCCAGAGTAGGGCAGTATCCAGGTCATTGACACAGGTTAGGCTTCTTTGTTTTAAAAAATTAGTTATTTCTGTATGGTTAAGATAAAGTACTGTATATGTTTCTCAAGATGTGTCAGCATTATTATTGCTCAGATTTCAATTATCTCTGCTTTCACACACTCAGGGTGTGTAATTAAGAAGATGATGATTTATTTTTTACTGATAACAATAAGTATCCATATATACCCCTGGGGCAAGGATGGATCCAAAATAAGGGTTAAGAGTTTTGCCTATAAGTGGATGTACCAGTACATGTACTCAAGTGTAAGAAAATTCTCTTCTACAAAATAACAAGGCTGCAATGAAAGTGTGTACATGTTTAGTACGAGACTTTACTCATAACTTTTTGGGGGATGAGTTTGTAGTTTTTGAATACAAAGGTGTCTTTCTATTTGTACCTTTCTAGGTTGAAGATTCAAAGAATACAAATTAAGCATCTATTGATGATAGTGACTAAAAAAAAATCAGTGACTTTGATTTAGGCAAGAAAAATGGGAAAAAGTTATTAAACCATTCAAATGTTTTTTTAAGGGAATGGGGAGTAAAACTGGACAGCAACACCAAGGACATACTCTAAAACATAAATTAGCACACTCAAAAATAAGCGCATTTTTCTTTTTCAGTTGGTTAGTGCAGTCAATATATTAGTGCACTTGGGTCCTAAAAACGATGAAGTTATGTCTATATAATTTTGTCTAATTCTTTTTTACTCATCACAGATGGAGTTTGGGCGACCAGGTTCTCGATTGTCCAGAGCTCAGACTCGTATGAGTACACCAATGATCAATGCTGAGAGTGCTGAAACAAGGATCAAGAACAGGATATTCCGTAACTGGAAGGAAATCCAGAGGAGTTGTCGTAACTGTGACAAACACAACACAGGGACAATCCAGATAGAGGAACTCAGAGGTAAGGACAAGTTACAGAATACAGATGTATTACAAATAGAAAGAGAACAGAAGTTTAAGAAACAGAGGTTGAATAATAGAGTTTTATCTGGGTAGTGAGCTTTCAGGACAAATATTTCTGAATGTTAAATTACTTGACATATATCTTCCTTGCTCTTTCTAGACATTCTGATGAGAAATGGAATAGAAATGCCAGAAGAGGAATTCTACGATCTGATGACTAAATATGATCTGAGAGAGGATGGCTCATTTGCATATGTTGACTTCCTACGTCACTTTATTTTAAATCTAAAGCCACAGGAAGATTCCAACTTATTGTCAAGGCGACGTGTTCCAGGACGAGTATCTGTAAGTAATGTGATGTCACTTCCTGTATTAGAATCCAGTATATATAACTGTGTCACTTACATTGAATCCAAGCTTAGTCAAAATAACATGTATGTTTGAATTTTAATTTGTGACAATTTGAATGTGATATATAACTATTAACAAATGTTTGATTTACTGAATACCACTGAATTTAATAAGTATACTGAATTCATTTTATATATGTAATGATAAATATAATGTTATTATTAAGGCAACACAGATACCAATATTTGGTAGACAATTGAAGGTATTTTGATATTATTAGAATGTGTACGAATATTATAAAACATTTTGGCTTAAAACATATATCTCCACACGGGCATTATACACCTGGCTTACAGTCTACAGACTGCACCTGGTTCTGTGTGCAACAGAGGCAGCATTAATGTTTAATTAATATTAAAAATACTAAAGATATTATTACAGTAAATTTATTCATTTGTGTATCAGAAAATGAAACCAAAAACATTTTAATGACAATTTGATGTTCCTTGCCTGTCACCAGTTTTTTATATGGAAGACTGTCTATATATACTACTGTAGATCACCAAATTTTCGCGACACCTTATTTTCGCGAGTTATATAATCGGTATTTATAAGTGAGACAATTTTTTTGCAAATTCTGGGTATTGTTGTATATAATCTATACTAACAAAATTTACATGAGAATGAAATTTTTGGGAACAGAACATCTCACGTAATTACGCAAAAATAAAGTTCTCTCCAATGAAAGGTGTTTTACAGTATAAAAAATGACAAACTTTGCTGTGTATGGTTATGTCAGGGTATTTTAATTGGTTTAATTTTGCTCTATAGTCCCTGTCCACACTCTCTGAGAATTCCGAGGTAATTTCTTGCAGCTGTCTGATTTTTGGTTTTGGCTTTATTTAATTTATAAGTTCACACAATCATTGTATATTCATCTATCCTCAGAGTATCAGTATAAAATTTAATTTTATGTCACTCTTTATTAATGCTATACACTGTAATCACCCTCATTCAATTTGACTAATTTATCTTTTTAAATTGCCTTCAGTTTTTGGTCGATTATTTTCTTGTCAATTTCAAAAAATATAATATTTCCAGATTTTCTCTACTCATCTTTACATGCTGATCTGTATTTTTTTAATTTATTTTAGTCTCAACCATATTATTATAAATGATGAAACAGGAATATGATAAAAATAATTATAGTTATTTTAGTTTTTTAGCCTGCTAAAAGTGTTAGATTTGATGCAATATATTGTCATGGTAGACATATGGCTAGATATTTTGTGTTGTTAATTTTCCTTCAAGCAAAAAAAAAAAAAAAAATTACATGCAGAGAAAGTCCTTGAATTCTTTTTCTTACATTAAATTAATTGATCATATATGGTCATACCTCCAGTAGATTAATTTGTTTTTCATAATAAACTTCTAATTTAAAGATATTGACCAATTATTTTTAAACAGGAACTTAATTTGTGTCTGTGTATTGTAGGTATCAGCGGGCCACACCAGCACACATTTCTACGATGCCATGATTCGACTCCGTGAATGTGTGCTCCAGAACTGGAAGGAAATGAGGCGACTCTTCCGATCACTGGACCGTGAAAATCAGGGCACAGTTAGCTCCCTTGACTTCCGCCATGTTCTACGTCAGTTCAGTGTCAATCTAGGAGAAGATGAATTCTTCCATCTGTTGTCCTATTATGATAAGAACTTGAATGGGATGATATCTTATAATGACTTTATTAAAGCTTATCTCCAGAGCCCTTGAGAACATTGAGAAAACTTAACTTAGGAAATATATTTTTTTTCAAATAAGAGCCGATTTGACTGGTGTTGATATACCATCTCTATCCTTCTATTGCTTGCTTTGTTTACAGACTGCTGTGGTCTTTCTCAATTATGGTGCCTTTATACTATAAATTTTGATGTACCAAATTTACTGCCCGTCTCTAATTATGTCATGGAGTTTGCAATATAAACCTTAGAAATTCAATGTTCTGTGAACTTACCTCAGCACCAGAGATTTGCAATCAAACATGGATTCTAGCTGTTAGGTTAATGTAAGGTGTGAATTCTGAACTCTCCTTTGTGTAGATGTGTGGACATGGATACTCTTTTTCTACATCTGTGATATGCAAACTGTGATTCATTTTTTTTTTTTTTTTGTCTTTTTTTTACTTGTAATGCTATGTGAAATTTCAAAAATTCTCTGCTGATACACAAGTACTTGTATAGTTTATGTACATGTATATTTTTGTACATCTGCTATTCTCTTTTTAATAAATCATTACTTTAGAATTGCCTTCGATATTTTGTCTTTTGTTTTGGCATTCAGTCACTTAGTAGTAAAAAGGAAAGGAGTGAAATGTGTAAGAATAGTAAATTTGTTTAAGTCAGGTATATATTTCTGCTCTAAAGACTTAATGGTAATTATTTATTATTTTTTAAGGTGGTATGGCTCTCCATAGACCTTTTAACAGGGATATACAGTATCAATTTTAAAATGATTTAAGAACAGACTAGAATATTGTTGTAAAAAGTGAAATAATGTCCTTGAGAGTGTATTAAAAAGCTGTGATGTACTTACAAATAGAATTAAGTTCACCAAATGATACAACAGTGAAAGATGTCATATTTAGGTCTGTGATACAATTTACATAAATCAAAATGGTTTGTGACTCTAGATCACACTAGGCAAGATTTGGAAACAAAATGACATTGATCCCCATTTGAATTCCAGAAATTGCATCACTTCTGCTTTTAAGTTGCAATATATCTTCCTCATTAGATGCTTCAACTAGCTGACTACATATGATAATCCAAGGTCATACAGTGTGCCAAATATGATCCAGATTTTACCATGATATTGATTTGACTATTTATAGCCGCTGCGGTTTAATTCTGTTCTGTTGTGAGCTACATTTGGGTCCCAACATAGCTTCTCAAAAGATGCATCTCAGGAGGATTGATGATCTTAGGCCTAGGCCTAAAAGTGTGCAGAACATGAAGTAAACATGATTTGACAATGTATACTGGTAGCCATAAAATTCTAAAATGAGGTCACTATGACCTACTTTTAATTTGTGACACAACTTTCCCCCAAGATACATCAATGAAACAATAGTTTGATGATCTTAGTCCTCACAGCTTTAAAAATTTAACCCAGACATGAGAAATGCATGTTTATAGATGGATGAAAACCCATAAATAATGGCTTATCAAAAAGGATATAAAAGAAGAATTAAACATGCATGTATTCTGTAGTACTATATAGCTCACTTAGAGAAAAAACAAAATATTGTCATGTTTTATACACATAACTGTTTTATACATATAACTAAAAGAGGGGCCCTTCGAGATGATCGCCATCTCAATCATCATCATCAAACTTTGTTGATTTTGTGGGTTGCCCTCAGCCACAAGTTTACATCCCCATGAATGAGTATAACTTTGATAATATATTGGTTAATTGAATCTTCTATGTATTCATATTACCCATGAATTTATCTCTCCATGAAAGAGAAAAATTTTGGATGCCCATAAACAATGACTTGCAGTATACGCAATTAATCACCTGTAAGCTCAGCTGAAATGAAATGAGAAATAAAACATCCTGAGTTTTTCTTTATGACATTTTATTGGACGGATATCCACAACTTTACAATTCAATTCTGTAGACATAATCTGATTCTTCAAATACACAATGTCAACAATACAAAATAATGTATTACAATTTTATCACAGAATAAAGACACAGTCATATAAATAGAAGGCGTAACAGGATTTCTTCCAATACACTCTCGTAACAAGGCCTGTCTCCAGTGTAGATTTTGTACAACAATAATAAAAAAGGTTGACAGAGGGTAACTTTAAACTTCCTTTGGTGTGAAGTATAATTTCAGTCAGCAGTATTTTAACATCTGTTAGTTGTTACAATATAAGACTATAAAAAGAGTAATCAGCGGATTTCATATGAGCACCTTTCACACAAATAATGCACTTAGAATTCTCAAATGGGGAGTCATTTTCACAGAGACAGAAATAAGTAGTTCTATTTCAGACCATCCATGTTGTTGTTGGTTCAATTCCTCTAAGAGCAAAGAATGTTTCTAATTTGTTGTCGAAATCACCAGGGCGATCATTGGGAGCACGGTATCTCACAGTCATATTGTCCCCGAGGTAACGGATCAGTTGACAAGTTTCTTCAAATTTCTGTAATTTTTTCTTGTACTTTTTTCTTACGTAGTCAGAACTCTTGGGATTATATGCTGAAGACAAAAATTATGACAGAACATAATATATCTACACATATACTTGAAGTATAGCCATTATATATTAATATATATGACAATGTAAAGTATTCAAATTGTAAATTCATTGTAATTCTCAACTGCATAAGAACATGTTGCCCACAAAACATGGTCACATCCTTTGAAGCTAATGTACGAGTAAATATGTTTTGTTGTATTCATTCATTGTCTAAAATAAGATCATTAGTACACAGCATGTATGACTTTAATTCTTTCAGGAAATTGATTTCAACAAGTCAGTTTCTCACATACCTTTAAGATGATAGGCCACATACATAAGAGCTGACCGACTTGAATTAAGGAATGGGTATTTTGGTTTGAAGTTTCCGCAGGCTGTCAGAGCCTTGACCAATGCAGTGGCACAGGACTGTTCCATGTATCCCAGCATGGGGAGTCCAGTCACTGGGAGGGGCTCCTTGGGAGGGGGGAGCTTGTGGGGAAGCTTTAAATCATAATACTTCTCTGGTGTTCTAGGAGTATTACAAAATCAATATGAAAGACAATGTCTGCATGCAATTATTTGACCAATTTTCAAAAGCACATTTACAGCAGTTCTATGAAATGAAAGCAATTACTCACTTCATAAATTTGAGAAGTTTTTCTTCTGATTCACAATAGAAGAATTTTCCTCTGTACTCTGCAATGAATTCTGGTTTCCCTGGGACGATGGCTTCATATCTGTTATCACAAAGCAAAATACAGTTACAAATTGTGGCAAGACTTTTATCCAAATGTTGAACGATACCAGTACTGATCATTATTACAATACACCATAGAACTGGAATCTTTAACATGAAAGATCTGCTGCTTGTAATCACAGTACAAATGGGGGGATCACAGAACAAACCTGCAATGTCCATCCAAGAATGTGACAGGGCAATATCCTAACAACTCTATCTCCTGGGAGGCTTTTACATCTGCAGGGGTGTGTCTGTTGGGGAGGAGCTCTGGAGGGGGAAGTTTGTTGGGGGCCAGAGGGGGAACATATTTCTCTGGGTCGTCCAAAAACTTGTTCAGTTCCTTCTGACCAGCCATTTTATAATAATGTCCTGAAAAAAGCACATATTTACTGTAAACAGCTAAAAAAGACAAAAATTTCACAATTTAACAAGCAAGCAATGCATAATAAGTCAAAGCAAGATTGTATTCATTCTTCCTAACAATTATACAGACAGGTGATAAAATGGTAGCACTGATCACAAACCTCTATACTCGGCAGCATATCTGAGAGACACAGTGGTGGAGCAGTCGATGAGCTCATTCTTGTCGGCCAGGCTGACTGGACAATACTGACCAAAGTCACCCATGCGCTGCAGGAACTCGTTTGGTGTGATGCACATGTCGGCAATGGAAGCAGCTTGACCTGTACATATGTGGGACATTAAACATGGAGTGTGGTGACTTGATTCAAAAATAAAGATGTTACATTGAGCATTTTATTATTATTTCGACTTGAAAACTTTGTGGAGCTGAAAGAATTCATGAGTAAATTTTTGCTGAAAATTATAGTACATGTACTTCCATTCTAGTACATGTATTTGCCAACAAATAATTACATGTATAAACACATTAGTTAATTGCCGTTTGCTTGTTTTTTTAAAGATTTACATATGTAAGTATAACACCCACCCTCTCCTATCCTCTTTAGGTAGATCTGTATCTGTGACACACTCTTTTTGGAGATGTCGAGAGCAGCATTCCATACCCACCACTTTGATCGTTCACCACTGATCAACTTGTGATTCATGTGTTCTTTCGTGTACCATTCTTTGACAGCCCCCACCTCCTTATGGTAGGCTGCTAATTTCACAGCCAGGATCTGAGAGCTATCATGCAGAGGCAGGGTCCTACAAAAATCCCACAAACTTAAGTAACATTTACAAAATGATCAAAGGATCAATTTTTTATTTTTGTTTTAAAACAAATTCTTTGATATCAAGAAAATACAATATTTTATACATTAACTCCCATGAAAGTTTATTTTTTCCTTAATTTGTCAATTACCAGTATCCCATCCATGCAGTTATTACATTTTATTAATTGCACTACTTTATCACAATACTGGGACAGATTTACCTTGTGGGGGCAATGCGGTCCCTCATTCCCCTAACCATGATTTCTTTGCTGTCCATAATTAACTCAATGACCCTGACTGGAATAATATTACACTCGGTCATCAAGTCCACTTGTTTCTTGGTCATCGGATAGCCATCCAACACATACCTAATAGGTTAAAAAAAATTGTAAATTTGTTTTTAAATCGTTCTTTTCTTTTATATGTTTCAAAAAATAACTGGCTAGCATTGGAGAACTGGCAGTGTTAACTCACCCTCTGGTTTGACATCTCATGTCCATTAGACAGACATCTAAAGCCTGGACGGCCAGCTCGTCAGGAATGGTCAGTCCTTTGACCAGGTGCTTGGTAATGGACTTAGCTAGATCTGTTTTGGGTTGTTCAACTAGAACTCTCCTCATGGCCTCTCCAATGGACAACCTGACCAAGCCATACTCACTCACAAACCTGTTAGCCACTGCAAGTACAAAATACACAGGAAATGGAATAAACATGCATAGTTCTTATTTTATACAGAATATACAGCAGGCAGATTATTCTAAACTGTACATACAAAAAAATGTGTTCCAAAAATAAATATCAAGCAAAATGCATGCTAGGAATAATTTGTTATAAATGTAGCCACCACATACATGATGTTTTGCCTGACTTTGGTGGTCCAATGATGCTCAATCTGATTGGAACCACTGGTCTGGAGATGTTCTGTGTGAGGTACAGCATGGGGTTCTTAGAGAACTCCTCTCGAGCTGAAGGAGAGGACATGAAGTAGATATGTTGCCGATAGATACAAGGATATGTTGGAAATCCGAGTCCATTCATTGGCTGGATCACATCTCCCTCATATAACTGAAAAAAATTGAAAAAGTAGTACATCAAATACCATTCAATGGGTGATCTTTCGGCACATTACCATGTAAATAAAAAAACTATGAAGAAATTATTTAAAGCATAAATGATTCTTAAGAAATTTATAGTAAAGCTCTCCTCTCTTGAAGATAAATAAAAAGTAATTACCTTGACTGGACACCATCTGCCAAACTTGCTTGGTTGTTTATAACCAGTTTGCAGCATTTTATTGGCCAGCCTCTCATTGACGGGGTAGACCCTCTCAAACATACTATGTCTGAAGTCAATGAATGGCTTCAAGCCCTTAGACATGGAGTATCTAACAATATGTGGCTTCCTGCCAGCTTCCACTGCCACTCGTGGAACAGAGATTTCCTCTAGAGTTTCCTAAAACAAAAAAAAAAAAAAACATATACAGTTGAACTTCTGTACCTCAAATACAATGGATAAGTGAGTTGGAAATCACAATTTTTCTTTATATCCTTTAACCTCAATATCCAGTCCACAAATATCTTGAAGTGTTTTCTTGACTCCATCAAGTTCAAGATAATGAAATTTGACAGTTTTTATTTTGATTTTTTTAATAGATTTAATTTTGAAAAGACCCTAGATGTTTCCTGTTCTAAATTACACTTTCTCACTCATCCACAACAAATTACCTGTACAGCTGCGAGTTTGTTGGTGTCATTATCATACACCTCATTGAGGTCATTCCTCATTCTGTCTGTGGCATCCTCCTCTTGTTCCTCTTCCTCTTCTTCTTCTTCCTCCTCTTCCTACAGACACAAATTAAATCATAGTGTCATTACATGAAGATTGATTGATTGATTGTATTTTGTTTAATGTTCCTCTCGAGAATTTTTCACTCATATAGAGACGCCACCACTTGCCGGTAGAAAGCTGCAAATTTTGTCCTATACTCGGCACTTACGGCCATTGAGCAGTGAGGGATCTTTTTCGTGCCAGCACGCACTGTGACACAGGACCTCGGTTTATACGGTCTCATCTGAAGGACCGGTCTCCATGTCCCACAGTGGGATTCGAACCCGCGACATAAGGATCAACTCCTTACTTCGCGACTCTAGAGCAGATGCTCTAACCACTGCGCCACGCGGGCGACCATTACATGAAGAAGGGATACTGTTATTTTATTCTTATCATAAATCTGCAATAAAGTTTGGCTGACAGTCCAAGAAGAGTCTCATTATTGTATACAGGGTTATTTTTGCCCCATGTTATTTTCGATCTTTCACACTTGTAAACAAGTTTGCTCCATTTTAAATTCGCCCAGTCACAATTCTGATTAAGAAATTACACTGTTTTTTTTTTAATTCGCCCCATTTTAAATTCGCCCACCTGTGAGTAGGGCGAAAGGGGTGAAAATAAAACGGGGGTGAAAATTTCCCTGAATACAGTATTTAAGACAGTGAGTTTGACAAGGGTTACCTCAAACTCCTCGGCTAGCTGAGCTTCAATATCAACCTCCTCTTCCTCCTCCTCTGCCTCTTCTTCTTCTTCTGCCTCTTCCTCCTCATCACCATCTTCTCTGGCTGCAGCCTTCTCTGCTGCTCTCTCCTTTCTTCTCTCTTCCTGCTCCTTGAGGAGCTCCTCTCTCCTCTTCTGAATTGCTGCTTCCTACAATTTTCAACATTCCAAAATAAACATAAAAATTCAAATTCCATTGTTTCCCTCTCTCATAACAAAAATGGTGCATCATCAGATCATCAAATATTCATTCCACATACTAAACTATCGGTATAACAGTTTCTTTTCTTTGAAATTTCATACATACATGTAAATCCCACAAGAAGAAAAATGTAATTTCAAAATACATTGTATTAGCGTACACATAATTCAAGCATTAGATGTGAGATGTACATCAAAGAAGCAACAATTTTAAACACTTACCCTCTTTTTCTGAGCCTTCTCCTTCTTCTTGCGTTTCTTCTCTAATCTCCTGTCTCTCTTAACCCTCCATTTGTCAAGTTTTGGAGGAAGAAGTCGAGCGATGACGTCACTGTCCTCTACATTAAGGATGAGGGCAGAGTCGGGGAACAGCCCCATTTCTGCCATGTATTTAGCTTCCTCACTGGTTCTAGGGAATCCTTCCAGAATAAACCCAGTGGATCTGTTAAAAATAAATTTCATACAAATAAATTCCACTAAAAAGTCAAGTCTTTTTCATTTGGAAAAGTTAAAAGAAAACAAAAACGACTACTTTGATGTAAATCAACCGAATCAGATTTAAAATAAAAAATTAAGACAGCAAAATACTTTCTTATTTAGCTCAGAGTTTTTTTTTGCATCTGTCTGTATTGGCTAAATGTAAACTGGAGCTTTATTGTGTGTGCTGTAAAAATATTTTGGAGGATGAGTTATATATGCAATTGGGAAAGCAACTCACTTGAATGGCTCTTTGTTCCACCAGGCAGGTACAATTGTGTCCAGGACCTCAGCAGGGAGGGGTTCATCTGACTCCAGGTTAGCTTTAATGGCCTCCTCCTCCTCAGTAAACTCTACCTCCTCTTCTTCCTTCTCCTGTCACAAACAAAAATAGTCAGTAAGGTATCTGACAAGAAAAAGTCCACAGAAAAAAAACTAAATAACAAACAACTGAATCAATGTTAAAAGCTAACCAGTACATGAAATACTGAATCAGTATTACCCCCTGGTAATATTTGATGTGACTAACCTCTCCACCACTTTCTTTGCTGTCCGAGGGCTCAGCTGGCTTTTCCACTGGGTTTCCATCAGGATCTGTAATGGCCGCCTCATCCTCATCTTCATCTCTATCAAACAGTCATTGTATAAATTATTTCTGGTTCATTTTTCCTTTTTTTCCTCTTAAACTTACATGCATTATACAAGTATAACAAATGTCATTTATGAAAAGTTATCCTAGTCATTTTGAACCATTAGATACATGTATATAGTCTTCATGTTTCATTTTCCATTTGTTAGTGATATAAATTTTTGGCAGATAGATGATTGTCTGGTTACTACAGTTTAATACTTACGGCTCTTCTGGTTCCTCCTGGTTATCCTCCTCATACTCCGGTCCGACCTTCTTCCTGGTTTTGGCAATGATCAGTTCCTGGAGGCGATCTTTGAAGGAGATGTGGAATAGACCCATCCTCTTGGCCATCTGTCGGCCATGAAGAGATTTACCAGCACCTCTGGCTCCCAGAATCAACAGACGAATGGGAGGGGGCTATAATATAAGAACAATAATCAGATTAATTTTCATGAATATAATTTTCATACATTCTTTGACATTCTTATTGGCAGTGTTCAGTTAAAACAAAAATAATGTTATTTTAGAAAAAAAAACAAAAAACTCTCATTAGGCAAAACAATCAGAAATATTCAATGTTTCTTTCTTGTCTGAAAAATCTTCATATGAAAAAAAAAATTCACAACATCATACTGAAGTTCACAAAGTTTATACATATGACATTATCTTAAAATTTTTATTAAATTCATAGTGGCTATATGGTAACGTGATGTATGATACAAACTTCTTGTATTTATATGACATCTTCGACAAACATTTAAGCAGACCCATCCTTATGATACAAGCTTACAGAGAAGTATCAAGGATGGTCAATTTTGTCCTTATAAATGCAAAACATTTTGTTCAATAAGTTCATTATACATTATAAAACTACAGGGAATGAAAATCACTATGCTGTAAGTGTAAATTCATTATAAGTGTGTTCACTATTACTGTGTTTTACTGTTAATTCCTTTATTTACATATAATAGCTTCAAGTTCCACACAAATGCTTACATCCAGTGGTTTGTGTTTTGGGAGGAAGTCTGTGGGATTGGTGAGGAATTTTTCCCTGGCTTCATTAGTGGAGAAGTAATACACCTTCTCTCTGTACTTGGCTGATATTTCAGGGTTTCCGGGGTACAGGACAAAGTTCTCCTTCAGTGCCACAGGACAGAAGTGGTTCGTGTCTCCAAGTGGCTTCTTCTTGTTCCTGTTTGGATCTTCCTCCTTGAAAGAGAATTTATGATACATGTACAAATACTAGTCTTCAACCTTAAGCAACTGTAACTCTTAAAATTTGACTTGTTTCCTTAAAAACTTTAAATGCATTTTCTGCAAGACAGGTGACATTATTTTCCAGTTCATAAGATTTTTTTTAGTCCTCCATATGTATGTCCACAAACTGCTGAGCAGTTTTTATTTTGGAAGATTTTATTCTAATTTCTTAGATTTTCAGATGGAAATTTGAGTTTTGAAGTCAAGTTATCTCCCTTTGACTGACCTCTTCGCCTCCTTCCTCTTCCTCTTCTTCAGCTGCTGCAGCATCAGCCTCCATATCTTCTTCTTCCTCATCCACATCAGCTCCCTGATACTCCCAACCAGAGTACAGGAATGGTCCTGTAATCAAATGTAATCAAAATGTTATCACAACATAATATTGTAATAGTAGCCTCCCAGAACATTCAAAGAGTCCTCACACAGTCTTGTAATCAAATGTAATCGGTATAATAATGTAAAAAAAATCACCTGTCAAAGTAGATGAATGGTCCAGTATTCAAATGCAATCAATGTACCATTATTCAAATGCAATCAATGTACCACAGTATAATAGTACAAGTAATTTACCACAGAACAGAAAATGGTCCTATGGACAAATGTAATTACTATGTAACATATGAGTACATGAACGGAGATGATATATGTGCTTTAAGAGTTGTTCACAACAGAGAACTTACTCTCCACATTTTCTATGGACTCCTTGTACACCTCTTCGACAGACTTATCCTCGGCCTCGATAGCTATAGGCTCCATGCTGCTTCCTCCAGCTAGAGTAGCCAGAACATTCTGGAATTCCCTGTCAAACTCCTTCCTCTTCTCTTTGAATTCCTCAATTTCTGGTCCTGTTGGAAGTTTCTGAAAAGAAAAAAAATAGCAATTTTATTTTTTGCATGAAGAATTTCCACTTTGTAGCAATTATAACAATTTTCATTTATATGCTTTACAAAACACAACAATCAAACCTCTTTTCCACCAGATCTAAGAAAATTGTTAATAATAATAAGATCCCAGCGTAGTCTTATACTCACATTTTCATCCTCCTGTATCTTGACCTTTGACCCCTCCTCCTCCCCTATGCTGGATGGGGCGGGGTCACTGGTCTTTGTGGTCTCTACTTCTGATTTTTGTTCTTCCTCCTCCTCTGTTAAAACATGACATTGATACAATGAAGTGTAAAATATGTAATAAAGAGTAGAGATCTAAAATCTATAAAAAAATCTCAATAAGTAAATACTGCCAACAGACTTAGCTTCTCAAACTTTGCAATGTAATAAAATTATGAGCACAACATTTTCATTTTGTGATTTTAGAATAACTACTATTAATTTGTATTTGCAAATTTTCATGTGAGAAAGACAATAATATAAAAAAAATTCATATGGAAAAAAATGTGAATAAGTAGCTAGGGTATATATCTGAAAGAAGAAAAATTAATAACTGGGACAGATTTATGTATATATTGTGGGTTAGAGACATTTTTAGTCATCTATGACTTGTAGTTAATAAGAGTATTCTTTCAATGAAAGACAACTCATTAAATGCAGAGCATATGTTGGTGAAAACAAGCCAATTAATTCATAAATCTATGTTGAAAGGATGAATCATAAACCAACTTTGAATAAAGAAATCTATGTAAAATAAAGAAATATATGTAAAATAATGAAATATATGTAAAATTCTTTCCTATGCTCATAGTTATTTGTCATAAAAAATGAATTCTGGAACAAACAGAAGATTGATTCATAAGAAATTCAATATTTACCAAAAATGTCTGCAAAATTTGAGTGGTTTAAGGTAGACAAAAAATAATTTTATTAATTTTTTTTTAATTACATAATTTTTAAAATATTTCAACAAACTTTCAAGACATTGATTTTTTTTTTTTTTAATATATATACATATATATATAATTTAATATCAAAAATGTGGAAGTTCATCACAATATTGAATCAGTAAATATATGAATTGATTAAAGTTATATAGTACTGAAATGTGCAATATACATCTTTTACACCTAAAAAGTGCAAAGAGATAAAATATAAGATCCTGAAATATAGCATGCAAAAAAGTCAACACATGCTAAAAGCAGGGGTTTAAAACTAACAGAAAGTGTAAAGTATTGATATACATGTAATGGAATATAATACATATATCTACAATTGAAATATACATAGTGAAGCATAAATACAAAGCACTAAGAATTTTTGTGAGAACATAAGCTAGTATGAAATAAAAGTATGATAACCAGACACAAACCTGAAGATGAAACTGATGGTGAGGGAGAACTCATATCTACCAATGCAAGTTTATGCTTCTATGAATGCAATTTTTACATTCTGATAAACACAATGAAGTTTATACAATCTTACTACAATCTTACTACACCACAACACATAGCATGATAGCAGAATTTTATCTATGAAATACCATTCCCACTAACAGTTGTTAACTAGCACCCATGCTTTTATTGATTCTACTAGCTCTATAACTTTATAAAAATTCCACAAAAAACACTTCCATAATGATACCAATAGGGTTAACTCCCCTTACACAATACACAGCACACAACACCAGAGGGCACATTTACAGTGAGAGGACCAACAGTGAGGAGTGGACAGTGGGGTTACCTTTAGGAGGTTCAGCTGTCTCCTCCTGTTCTGGCTCCTCAGTCTTCTCCTCGACTTCTTCTTCCTCGCCCTCCTCAGCCGTCTCACCTAAATTTCAGAAATGGTGCCAAGTCTATGTAGTGGTGACACACAGTGGCAATAAATTCAAGCTATTTTCTGTATCCTGGTGATAAACACTTTGTCTAATGAACAGTAGTAAATGTAATTTTTTTTTTAATGTAAGCCACACATGCTCTGGTTTGAATCACCGTGCATCAGCATTCAGCAAAATTCATGTGGTGAAATTTCACTTCACACATGTTGACATGATGAATCTGATGAGGCAAGATATCTTGTTCATGTTTATAGAAATCTTGATGTCATGATAGCAATGAAATTATTCCTCAATGATTCTATTTGTGAACATGAAATGGATAATATGATATGAAGATGATCAAGGAAGATAACTCACCACCTTCCTCGCCCTCTTCCTCAGCAAGTTTCCTCAATCTCTCTTCTTCTGCTGCCTTCCTCGCTGCTTCTTCAGCTGCTTTTCTCTCTTCTTCCTCCCTCCTTCTTAATATTAAAAAATATCTTGAATATTCAACCAATAATCTACCATTTCTTTAACTTTAATAACTTTCATTTATTTTTCTTGTTCCTTTACAACTGTTTTCAGGGCATTATTAATCAGAACATTCTCAAATATTTTAGATACTTTCTCAATTGATTGAGGAGAATTTGGATTGCACCTCTAATCCGACAAATCTTAATGAACTCCTCCCTGCCTACCTCCTTTCTTCCTCAATGGCCCTCCTTTTGCGCTCCTCCTCCTCTTTGCGAGCCTTTATCTTTGCGTCAATCTCCTCCTTGTTCATCTGATAGAAGCGCCTGATCAGAAACTCGCTGTTCTCCTTGTCTTGTAGCAGAATGATGTCATCAGGCATCACATTCTTCTCTATACACATGTTCATCTGGTCTCTGGTCTTTGGGAAGTTATCCAAAACCCATCCACCATGTCTATACAAAGAATTTTGATAGATTTTAAAAGAAAATTTGTCCTTCAAATTCAACAAAATATCAGTGCAAAAGAAAGCACCAAATAATACAGGTTTTGAAGAGGGTATTTAATAATGAAACATAAATCTCTGTGATATAATATAAATGAATTCAAAACTTCTCCATAAAAAACAAAACAAAAAAAACCCCCAATGATTTATCAAAATTCTAAGCAGGAAAAATATCTCTTTACACTTACATAGGTCCATCTGGGGTCTTTTCTCTGAGTTCTTTTTCTGCATCTTTAATTGCCACTTCCAGAACCTCAATATATGCCTCTGGGGGGAGGGTGATCTGATGTTCCTCTGCCAGCTTAATAGCGGCCTCTACCATGGTGATGACCTCTGGGTGGGTCTCGTCGACTTCAGGGGCTGGAGGAGGGGCTGGAGGCTCCGTGGAGGAGGTGACCTCGGATTTCTCCTCAGTCTTTGTTTCCTCTGCTTTCTCTTCACCGCCCTCTTCACCGGATTTCTCCTCTTCTTCTTCTGTTATGTCCAAAAATATAATGTTGTGTTACGTTTTGAAATCTAAGATGAATTTTTGGTTCATAAGTCTTAAACTCTAAAAAATCTAAACATACGTGGGAATGACAGAAATCACAATTTATCTGGGCATTTATTTTTCTGGCTGAAAAAATAAACATCACAAAGTTGTTAAAAAAGGGACCTTTAGTGGAGAAAAAATTAGTATGAAGTATTTTGTTAATACATTGAATTTCAAGCTAAGCTTTAAATATTACCTTAGCATTTGTTAGCATTCTCAACGTAATAAACAAGCTGGTAAAATTGTTAATTATCAATAAGTAACTGGCAGAATGGGTTATCTTTCCAGGAGAAGCAATATACTGGCAAGCAGAATCCTTGATTAAAAAAAGATATTAAAACAGCTCATTTACAAAGCTGTCAACCACACAAGGATTGTAACTAGCTGTGGTTACATTTGTAAGAGTTAATATGTTCAAATCTGCATACCTTTAAAACACTAGAATTTGAATCATTTACTGTATAGGGGGAAAATAACTAGTGGTGTGCATTTTTGCTATATTCATTCCATCAATAAATCACAAATACAAAAAAGTAGATAATTTATATGCTTAAAAAGTCACTATATAAGTACTAGTAATATTTACTAGTTGCCCAATTTCAAACACCTGAGATTGTAGGTGCCAAAAGGAAAAATATATACACCTGAATATTTTAACCCCTATACAGTAAATTTAGCAGAATGGAAAGAAACAGTTTTTCCCAGAATAAAAAGAACTGCCACCAATTCTGGAACAAGGCTGAAGGAAATAAGAAAGCGGTTAATAACCAACAGTAGCAGGAACAAGGCGGTTTATAGTTAAGCCCAAAAACACTACAAGTTCCTAGCCAGATCTGCCGACCTTTGACCTCCTTAGACTCCGCCCCTTCCTCAGGTTTAGTCTCTTCTGGAGGAGATTCCTCACTTTTTTCCTCACCCTCTTTGACCATGCTGGTATCAGTAGCACTAGGATCTGGTCAGAAAAACAAACTCTGTTACAGTAAAAACAGGTGAGATTGTGTCAAGTTACAGCCAGGTGCAAACTCTTGTCTCAAGAAGAGACTTTGTTTTAAATGATTAACTGTCAAATAAACATGATTCTATTATAGTTCTTGAAGAAAAATATACATGTTTATTAATATACACACAAGCTAAATTTAAAAAAAATTGTAAAAGTATGATAGCATTCAAAATCACATGCATGCATGAATTCAAAAACAGCTCAGAAATAATTGAAAACTGCAAATGCAAGTTTAATGATATTTTCCTGAAACAAACACAAAAATTAAAGATTGAATTTTAATTAGTAAACAAACATTTTATTTTCCTGAATTCAAGCTATAATACCCATAAAATCATCATCTGAGTCTGAAATAATTTCATTTTGTACATCTTAGATTTGATCATTACTTCATGAAAGAGCTTAATTACATAAATCTATAATTAATGTCACCAAGAATCTTATGCATTCAAGATGCGTACTAGCAGTGCTAAGTTTAGAGATCATTTATGAAGAAGTGAACAAGTTAAATATAATGCTATAAGAGAGTTGCAGTGTACTAAATTTCTAGCCCAATTGTCTTAACAGGAAAAAAAGCAAAGTAATATCTTTAATGTTGGAAGAAAATTTGGAAATTAAAAAATCATTACACATTATAAAATTTTGACAGACTGTAGAAATTTTAGCAGAAAAAGGGTTTAAAATATTCTAAATTCTAAGCTTCAAGTAGTACTGATAGAATATTAATGTAAATTGAGGATATATATAGAAGTAAATGAAGAGGAAGAGGGGAGGTAACTACAGAATTTTTCTCACCTTCCTCTTTTTCATCACCACTCTTGCCTTCTTCATCTAATCAGAGGCAAACAAATGTTTTACTTAATACAGCTTTGTGTACAACAAATAAAAAATGTCTATTGGGAGGTATGCATGCAAGTGTATAGCCTTAAATATTAGAGGTATTACAATTTAATTTTTCAATTTAAACAATTCATGTAAAAGATTTCTTTACTATAGATTATTTTTTATATGCTACTTGTTCAGATTTTCAACGGATTCTTTAATATGATTTAAAAGTAATTAAAAAGTAGACTTAAAATATAGAGAAACCCATGATCATTCTTCTAAGAGTAAAATTAATGGAAATAATGATCTGTCATCAGAAATTTGGTCTATGAAGAAAGGACCTTAGTACTATAGCGATTGAAATGGATAAGGCAAAAATTTAATGGATGACAAAGTCATACAATGAGGAGAGAATGAAGACAGATCATGCAGTGAGGACAGATCATGCAGTGATCGAGGACAGATACATGCAGTGAGGAGATAGATTTGAGAATTGGTTTGTGTAGTAAGTACAGTCATGCATTGAGGACAGATAGATTTGAGGATTTAGATGTGAGGATAGTCATGCATTGAGGACAGAGGACACTAGCTTTATAGAGTTGTCTACCTTCCTCAGCTTCCTCCTCAGCCTGTTGTGCAGCAAGTTCTGCTGCCGCTGCCTCTGTAAACAGCAGGTCAAGGTCAAACATTTAAGCCAAGTTTGTTGTCATAATACATTGTGTCAATAAATAACACACATGTAGATCAAACATCTATTTATATCCCTTATACCTCTATAACATACAAAACGTTATGCATTTCACAAGCAAGATTTCTCTGTTGTATAGATTTGTAAGATCCCCTTACCTTCTGCTTCTCTTGCAGCCTGCTCTGCCTCCATTTTCTCTTTGATCTTCATTTTGACAGTGGAGATGGCATTTTCTGTTGCCTCCTTCTTCTGCTCATCAATGTACTTCTTCTTCTCTTCTTCCATCTTTGGTTTCATCAGAACGTCCATATCCAAAACCTAAAGTAAAAATGCTTACCGGTACTCTACTGCAACAAGACAGTATTGTGAGAAAGTAAAATCGGGGTGGGGGGGGGGGGGGATTACATCTTTACCAATGAAGATGGCTACTTTGCATCAATTTATGACACAATCACATTCAAATCTTGAAGACATTCCTGCCTTGCTCAGTCTGATTTAACAAGATTTAAAGTGAAAGGCTCTCATTTAATGTTTTACTGAGATATTGAATACATTAAATACTAACCTTTGCTCCATACTTCTGTGCCAAGAGGTGTGCTAGTGTGGTTTTTCCTACAAGAGGGGGACCTAAAATGGCTATTTTACAAGGTGGCCTGGGTTGTGGGGCCATCAAGTATGGACGAGGATTCTTTAAAAATTTCTCCATTGCTTCTGCACTTGACAAAACATATATCTTGTCCAAAAAGCTGAAAACACAACAATAACATATAAAACAAATGGAAAAGTTAACAAGAAACATTTTTTTGTCTATGCAATTTTTTTTTCAGCTGTTTATACCTGACAGCAAATTCTGGTTTGCCAGGAGTTATATCCCCTTCATAAAGAGCTACAGGACAATTTCTCAACCAGCGGCTTCTCCTCCATCTAAACCTAGGGGCCACCATCTGCTTAGGTGCAAGTGTCCTCATTAACTCATCCGTCTCAATTTCCTCCGGGATTTCGTCATCCTCAGGATCCTGTAGCCTGACAGGTACAGCAGCTGGTCTCAGGACAAAGCAGTTCAATCGCGAGAGCAATTGCTGCAAAATATTATAACAGTAAGTTATTATACTGATACCTATACTGTCAGTATACTTATATTTATGAAGGAACAATGTTCATTTGTCTACATACACACTTTACAGTGTACAAATTAATATAAGTTAATCACTTACAGAAACATAACTTTAAAAGAAAACAAAAACTTCAATTACCCTAAACAGTGTTGGAATGGTTTGATTTCCATCCATTTCAATAAGATATTGCTGATCATGGTCTGCCATGTAATCCTAAAAAGATATTCATGATGAATCAACGTTAAATGCATGCAATAAGCCCATTTTCCAGTACATACATGTATAATATATTGACATGCACAGGTAGCTATGCTAAATTATGAAGCCTTACCTCTAAGAGTCGCAGCATTTTATTTTTATATTTGGAGATGTTTCCTTTAGCTTGCTCCTCCAAATCTTCAGGTCGCCTCAGTAGTCTCTCCAGCACATCGGGAGGAAGTTCTGATGCAAATTCACCGTCCTGTTATAAAACATGGATATATCATAGTATACACAGATTCTGACCCAGCAATTGTTATCAGTTCACAAAGACATCATCAGAAAACCTGACACAAATTGACCCCTGACCTCTGGTGTGGCCTCCTCTGCATCCTCTTCCTCCTCCTCCTCTCCTTCTTCTTCTCCTTCCTCCTTAATCTATCAACATTACATAATAACATTACCACTGTATCGATTAACAGTTTATTAATGCCACAAGTTATCCTTTTAATTAGTTGTGGTTTTTAACCTTTTTAGTTTTTTTCTTTTCCACATATATGTACATGTATGTCCTATTAGTTTAAAGCATTTAAACACACCATTACTGCTATTTTTATCAACAGGCATGCAGTAAGTTTGTTAGAAGAAATATACAACTTAAATGCCTGAAATCACTTATCATGTAGATAAACTCATATATCATAATTGATGTTGCTAATATTTCAGTAGTTAATGTTTGTATTTGCATTCTATTTCATGCATTAACAATCAAATTAATTTTGTCAATCACACAAGTTGTTGTGGGGCTTGTTTTTTTTATGGGTTATTAGACATACAATATTTCTTAGCTTAAAAATAGCTGTGTGTAATGATGTACACACAAAGTTAACTGACGACTACTTTGGTATATCTACGTATACATTATCTTGATCTGCATGCAGATACTTACTTCTTTGGCAGGTTCTAACTGATATTACCAAATAATTCAATAAAAAAATTAAAAACAAATGGGAATTGATGTGCTGAAATAGTGATACATTTGTGTAAAATGAATCCTAAACATGAATGAATACTCCCAGAGAATATGTGCAGCATGACATATTTGAAGTATTTTAATAAAGTGCATGTATTTCTGACCTCTTTGACTGGTTTTTCTGGGTTGTAAACATCCTCAGTGAAGATTTCTCCTGTCATGGGATCAATTTTCTGACCTATTCTCCTCTTCTCCAAATCATGATCAGGGATCTATAAATCATTTTGTAATCCAGGTTAGGATTCTTAACCCTTTAACCCCACTAAACAATTAAATAGTTTACCATATTGTTTTTAAAATAAATTGTAAAAATGTGAACCTTGATGTTAATGATAAAATCAGGCTTGAGTTTCCAATTCTTCACAAGTTCAATTTGGTCTTTTATGGAAAGGTTTTCCTCAGATAGGCAGGGGAAATCATCAAGCACATAACCTGTGAATGAAGTGCAATGGTGAACATTGACCAGCAGTGATAACATGCAGATATCTAAAGCTGGAGACAAGTGTCTAGTCATTATGTTGTGCTTTGTGTGCAACTACTAATTCCAACTCAATTTTTGAAATCAAATTTAAAAAAAAGGAATTCCTTTTCTTTCATCCTCACTCTTCAAAACATCGTCACTAAGCAGAACACCGAAAGTCACATTTACAGCTTCATTGTACAGAATATCAGAGTCACATTTACACTACAATACATATGATAATAAATAACAACAAAGAGCTAAGACATGTGTAAGAACATGTGTTAGAATCATATCTTACCATGATGAGTGACCTCTGGGGAGTGGATTTTTTCCTCGATCATTTTAATTACCATCTCCTCAGGAATTGCCTCTCCTCTTACAAGAATTTCTTGGCATTTATTGCCTGTTTCAGTCATCATGTGTATATGCTGGTTGATCAAATCCGTAGCTGAAATAAAATCATATATTATGTCCTCAAGTAATAAAATTAAAAAAAATTAAAGAGTATTGCAAAAAGATAGTGTTGCAATTTATTTTCATAAAATGTGCTTCTTACGATTAATCAGTTCACATTTCCATTCTGAAGCAAGTCTTCTAGCCAGGCTTGTTTTTCCAGACCCTGGTTTTCCAATTATAATGAAACATGTTGGTTTGGAATGCAGGAATCTAAGTTCCGTCTGTAAAAAAAAAAGGAGACACTGAACTATTTCATTGGAATCTTACTAAATTATTAATTACATTTTCAGACTTATGCACTCATTAACAACATGCAATCTTTTGACATAAATGTATATCACATAATACATACCTCATCCTCATTATAGGGATCAATCATTAACTCCTTGTCCTGTAAAAGAGCATCAAGATCTGACTCTGTTGTTTGTTTGGTCTGATCAACACTGACTCCTTCCATATTTATGACCTTTGGGTCCTTTTGACTTGTTCCACCTTCATCTGTCAAGCCAGATGGCGACTTAAAAAAGAAAATATTTCTAAATTCATTCTTATTATAAATAATAGACTATAAATACATTGGGTGATAGTTTTAGCACAGGGTTTTGCAAGAAAGTACATTTTAAAAGAAAGTTGCAAAATTGAGCAAATCCAAACAATTTGTCATTCATAATGATAACTCCTGTCTACATTCTTTGACCATAACTATGCTCATAGTAACTTAGTTTGTCTAATTAACTCATTAAAAGCAAAATCCAGTACACACAGAGAAAGTCAAGTAGCATTTTAAAAAATGAACATTGATTTTCTGCAAAATGCAAATTGTCGGAAAATTTTGCAAATCCTGAAAAATCCAGTTTATTGCAATGCACTAACTATATGTTTCAAAACATGTACTTTGGGAGCATAGTAATATCAACATCGATATATATCAAATATCACGATATATCTCTAATTATTGTGTATGGAAATGTGTGCCTTATTATCGACAGTTCTTGAGTTTATTCACATTTTTGATGTAAATCGTTATTATTGAAAAAAGTGACAAAACAATATTATATTTATCAGTTTATAAACAGGAACAAAAAGATTTATCATATGCAAGTCCCTACCTCTGTTTTGTCCGCCATCGTTGTTGGTATCTAAGGAAGTTCGTGAAACTCCGTAACCGGAACCTTTGGATCGTTAAACCCGAAATGGTTTTCTTTCTTGTTCGCAAATATCTTCCAAATAAATATATGTGTAAATTGAATATATTGTAGCATTTACGAAAAACATAATAAGCAAATATAATGGTCAACAAGAAATAAGAAATCCTTAAACAATTTTAGGTAACGTTAACCATTCGGTTTTCTCATTTATGCGCGTCAGCTTATTTCCTGTGTTGACATACGCTACTATTCCACATTGTGCATTTGTAGTGAATTTGATGAATATTGTTATACGTATTCCAATGTTCTGAGTAATCTAATCTTTTTCATTCAGAGAAGGGAAAGCATATTCAGTAGGGAGCATGGTTACTTAATTGAAAACAGTTCCGATTCGCATGCTGTAGGCAGGGCATCTGGATACTACACCAGGCAATCATGATCTCAACAATGACACCAAGCAAAGCAATAATACTGAGCTTTGTTATTGAATGTTTTAGCATTTTTTACTTTGGTCATGCAAGACCAATACAAAAAGTCCCAAACGTAATTCTTATATCTGTGGATGGACTGCGCTTTGATTACCTACAAAGCATCCGTAGCGATCAGCTTCCTAATTTTTCATATTTCAAAAAACATGGCTCATCTGTGAAGTATGTCAAAAATGTTTTTCCATCAGTTACATATCCAAATCACATGTCGATTATCAGTGGTTTATATCCAGAGAGCCATGGAGTAGTTCATAATGTTTTTGCAGATGAATTTCTAAATGATACATTCCATTATGACTATTTTTTCCAAAACTTTGACTCCCGCTGGTTTGACAATGGTGAAGAAGTGATCTATGTGACAAACAAGAAAGGAAGTGGTACCAGAGATACTGGATCAGCTCTATGGCCAGCTGGATTGACAATAATCAAAGGGATCCAACCAAGAACTATAGGAAGAGCATTTTCTGGAAATATGTCATTGTCTTACAGACAAAGAGTAGACTACATAATAGATTGGTTTACAGATGAAAAAAGACCTGTGAATCTTGGTTTGTTATATTTTGATGAGCCAGATGAAGCTGGACATAAATTTGGAGCAGAGAGTCCAGAGATCACAAAAGCACTTGAGAGAGTTGATACTGCACTTGGGTATTTGATAAAGAGACTAAATGAGACCGATTTATTAAGTAATACTAATATTATTCTGACAGGAGATCATGGGATGATTTCAACTGACAAAGGATTAGTTAATATTGATACTTGCATTGACAGTAATTGGTACACCTCAAATCGTGATCATGATACTGTGCTTTTTATATATCCAAAGGAAGGCAAGTGTTTTAGGAATAAAATATTTTCATTCCTCGGCTAAATGCTCTAGCAAACTTTTCTTTATACAATACCGGCATGTGTATTAGCTGTTTTTCTTCTATAATTATATTGTTAGGATATTTAACTTCTTAAAATCTTCAACAAACTTGGCACATTTTTGTGGATAAAGGGGGATTCATTTTAAAGAAAATTAAGCATATTGACCCCTTCATTGGAGATGCATGAAAACATGGGTACAGTTTTTGAATTGTATTAATAATGGTGGGTCTGGAATGATTGGGTTTCAAATTTTACATGGAATACAAAGGATATGTCTTTAAAGACTCTTCTGAAGAATTATAAAGCCCTTGGCTTTATGGAGGACCAAATTAATTAAGGGATCCAAAGTTAAAAACTCTCAATAGGAATAACTGATTCCTATGAATTTTATGTCAGACTGGCCTCAGACCTTTGTATTGATACAAAACTTGATAGAGGAAGTTGTCTTATAAGGAGAGGGCAAGGCAGCAGTTGGCATGCTTTTTCTTAGTTAAGTCACTTGTATTCCTATGCATGTATTTTGTTTATCTACAGGATTTCATGCTAAGATTTTGGATGGTGTACGGAGTTGCAGTAATATCTATGTATACACAAAAGAAAGTGAACAGTTGAAAAATATGCATCTTCAAAAGAATTACAGAGTACCTCCTATAGTCCTGGAAGCCAAGGCTGGATATATTATGGTTACAGATCGAACCCGTAAAGATTACAGTCCAAGTAAGTATTGAACAGCATTTATGTATTCAAAACTTGAAAAATCATTAATAGAAATGCAGAACCTATTGAAAGAAAATGTCTTATTGATAATTATTTGGAGTTCAGATGATGAGGAGTTATTAGTAAATGATATATGTTAAATTTGACCCATGTTTAAGAATTCTCAATTTTTTTTTTTGAAATGCTGTTTTAGAGGGTGGCCATGGGTATGATCCTGAGAAAGTCCAGGAAATGCGACCATTCTTTGTGGCATCAGGTCCTTCATTCAAATCCAACTTTACGCATATCCATCCTATTGATATCGTTGATATATATCCCTTGATGTGTGAAATACTGAAGGTGAAACCAGCACCAAACAACGGATCACTGCAAGAAATCAAGGAGCTTCTGATCTCACCTCCAGCTGGGAAACCTGCCAATTTTAAAGAGAAACTATTTGAAACAACCGGAATAACATGTAAGACCTACTTTCTGTAGCTTTAAAAATTGATAGTTGTAATATGTGGTAAAAAATAAATATTTACTAGTTATAGGAGCAGAATGTAATTTTGAACAAAGAGAGTTTTTTTTTTTTTAATTTTTAAATTTTAATTTGGTAAAGTAGACTGTGACATTATAATGGAATATATGATAAAGTGAATGTTGGTTATACATGTATATGAAAGCCACTGTGTGGGATCTCAAAGTGCATTAAGCATACATGTAGTTCTTCTTTAATAGATGGAATGACATAGTTGTATTCTATAAAATGCATGTAGATTTAATTTTACATGAATGTGTTTTTGCATTGAATTCAAGAAATTAATTTAATTCAAGCAGTGAAACTCCACAGAGAGTCATTATATATATGTACCCTCACTGTACTTACCAAAATGACCTGCACTGATTCAATCTGCATGTAAAAGTTTTCATAATTAAGAACTAACTTGAATGATGTTGGTGTTTTTCTGAGCTTACTGCACTATTCAGTTTTACTTGCAGACATATTCTATTTCAGTTTTTGTGATAATTGTACTTTCTTCGTTGGTGGGAGGCATCTACTGCATTGGAGCCATTCGCCAGAGTCGCATCACGGCCAGAAAAAGAAGAATTTTTGGGAGAGTTACCTCCTCTCTCCGGGATTTTCCAGCGGCCAAAGCTTTGCTACAATCAGATGAAGAGGAAGGCAGCGATGATTTATAAAACAAAATAAAGTTGAAGTTGGTTGTGAGAATTGAACATTTTTGCTCGCCAAACTTGTACATTGAAATTGGATTGAAAGTCTATGTGTGATGTAATTGATATGTTATATCTTTATTTCGCTAGCATTATCTCCTAAAAACATTAGACATTCATATTGACATTGCATCTGGGTGTGGCTGTTGTGAGATCATTGTTTGTTAATTTTATTATTTTTTTTTTAAATAGGATCTATGTATAAATTTTACTTCTCTCTGTGTTATATCCAGTAATAATTTATTATATACATTGTTTGTGACAATATCTCTAACACTTTTGAACTTTTATTGGGTAGATGGCAAAAAAGTTTTGGATTAATTTTTTAAGCTTTGTTATTATGGGTGCAAACTGTGTTATGTGAACATTTATAGCTATTTCATTACACATATAGCTGCTTCATTACATTTATAGCAACTTCATTTCATTTATATAGCTACTTCATTATATTTTTTCTATTTGTCTGCAGTATTTACTGTACTTCCTTCAAATGATTGCACAGACCCCCCCCCCCCTCCATGCTTCATACATTTAGTAGGGCTGAGAGGATATATCGAGAAATCGATAATATCGATTCAATGTGAGGATGACACGCATATCGATACGTATGAAGAAATATCGAAATATCGCAAACAATTCTGACTTACGTTTTTCTTTGTTTACTTCACATTTTGGGTTAAATATATAAATATGAATATGCTAAATATTAATATAAATATTAAATACATAATAATTAACACCACTTGTGTAAAATTATTTTCTTTTACAACAGGTACAACTACTTTAAATAAATTATTCTTATATGTGAAGAAATGTTTTGTTCATTTCAATACAAAAAAGACATTTTCTAACCAATTCAACATATTGTGATACATATCGTATCGTTGCTCAAATATCGTGATACATATCAATTTAGAAAAAGTTGTATCATCCCAGCCCTAACATTTAGGTCCTGATTAATTTAAATTTAATGTAATGTCTTCAGCTGAACTTGGTTTAAATGCAGAAGTTCTCAATTTATACAAAGCCACAGGGATATTATTCTGGAATTCCAGAGTATATACATGTACATGATTTAAGAGAAATGAAATGCTGTGTAGATATTTCTTTTTTAATTATTTGTAATGGTTGTCTGTTTTTTTTTATTTTAGTTGTTAGATGATTTGATTATTCTTTTACAATGTTTTATGTTTTAATGTGCAATATGATATGAGAATATGTGTGAAGAACATGTAGATATTTATCAAATCCTGGCATTATAATGTACTGTATGTAAAAAAAGATTACCAGTTTAACTGTTTTGCAAGAAACATTAAACATTCCAACTTAATTTTAAGTGTATATCCTTACACATGTAACCTGTATTGTACTGTATGTGCACAACAATGGAAGGTAGAAGTACTTCTATTTGCTTTCAACCTGTATTTCCTGGATGATTGACAGGTTGAAGTTTTTAGAGCAGGTCCATTCCCAAGTAACTATAAGCCCTATACCTAGACCAAACTTGCATGGAAGATGCATATAGGGATACAAACAACCAGACTTGCTAAAGATGCTGGATCTGACCTACATTTTTTTGGATGAGTGGACTTGTTCAAGTAACTATTAATAATAACTACTAATAAGCCTTACATGGATGACTCATCAAGGGATACGCATCAGATGCTGCATCTGACCAAAATTTTCAGAAAGATTGAACATAGTAAAAGGTTTTGGAGCAGGTCCATTTCCAAACACATGTATAACTATAAGCCCTACCTGGACCAAACTTGCATGGATGTTGATTCTATAGGTGCACACTACCAGTAAATTCATTGGGTGTTAGAACTTGCCTTTCTTTCAGATAACATTTATTTAGGCGAGCTTTGTAAAGTTTGTTTACATGTTTTATTCTAGTAGTAATTCAAATGATCCTCAAGTGCCTATGAATTAAGATGGAAAAAAATGTGTATAGGTGATATCACTTCTAATAAGTGATATAACAATGGATTCATATTGAATATTTGATATCACCAATTCCAGTAAGTGATATATCTATTCCAAAAAAGATGATATTGTCTGTTCAAAAAGATTATCATTACCTATTCATATGAAATACAGTCAAATCTCATTATCTCAAACTCCATGGGACCAAGAAAAAAACTTCGAGATAGCCAAGGATTTGAGATATCGAAGGTAAAATACTTATAAATAATAAGTAGTGAGGACTTCCAAATTACCAAGACATATCCATGGTATTGGAGATAATTATGGGTGTTTGAGATACAAAAGTTCAACAGTACATAATCCGTGATATTACCTAGATTTGAATTGGTGATATCATGAAATAGCACCTAATATTTATGAACCCTTTGAAAACGTATGAGCATTTTGTCTTTTTGAGTCAAGAACACAGGACTCCACAACATGCATGCATCACAAGTTTTAAATTAAGAAAACAAAGTTTAAAATATTTTCAACCATGGTCACAAAGTCAATAAGAATTTAAAAAGAAATCATTTTGACAACCCATTGCCTGAATCCTTTCAATTGTCATAAGAAACCCACAATTTAATTCTTAAGAATTATTTAGACTATCACTAAAATTCCTCACTTTTGATATCAATATTATTTATTAGTTGCTAGAGTTTAAATCTACTATCAAATGTCAAATCGACAAGTAGATACACTGTCTGGTGCCTATTTTGATCGGGATCGGTATTTAGAATATTTTGTATGACAACAAACAAGCATGGCTGATAATTTAGAAGATGAGTGGTGGGAAACTGGTAATCGTGCTCAAAATGACGGTAAGTTTTCGGATGTCCATGTCATTTTTATATTGCCCAACGGTTACAAGGTCAATTTTTAATAATTTATAAATAGAATTTTCGAAAACTACAGTGAACAAGCACTTACCATGCTAACATGCAAATAGTCAGATATATAGTATCTGAGTATGTGTCAGAATTGTATGACAGTTTCTGTATATTATTAGTAGTTCACAGTTGTATTTCTCAGATTCAGAAGAAAAAAGTTCAGATGAAGAAGAGAAGAATGCAGTTGAAGACCACAGGAAGAGGCCACTTGAGCATGATGGAGTTGACCAGGGGGCTGGAACTAAAAAGAAACAAAAACGCAAAAGAAAGGTGTATGTTTATTGTATATGTAATGTATAATTATATATTTACATTTGCAAATATTTCCCTTAGATGAACCTATTGAAGAGAAAACATGTTCAATTCTGTATGAACTTATTAGAGGGTCAGAGGTCATAGCATGACCGAATCACACGCCGAGATGATATTTTGCCTACATATTTCTGTCACAGTGAAAGTGGTTTCGGAACTTCCAGCTTGTTAGCAATGACAAAGATAATTAAAACATAATTATGGATATTTTTTCAATCAACAGATGTTTGTTTGATCTTCCTTTGGTGTGAAGAATATGGTTTGAATATTAATTAAAATTGTGCTTACCTTTCAAACCAAAATTCATTTGAAGGTATGTAAAATGAAACAGACGATACCAGCACTTTTCCGTTCAGGATTCACAGGATTTTATTATATGACCAACCAAGTTCATTTCCCAATGAACTTTTTAACATTGTTGTTTATTTCTTAATTAAACTTTTAAGGACATATGCAATGTAGTTTGAACTTTACTGTCTTTTTCCCTGGAGTTTTAGAGTTCCAATTGTTAAAGGAACTGTGTGCTACATTTTAATGTCTATATATGCTGCTGTACACTTCTTCTAAAACAAGTTTGGATAAATAAAACATATAGAATATATGTTTAGTAATGTTTGTATATTTTTATGCCCCCGTATTGAAGATTCGGGGGTATATAGTTTTTGCACTGTCCATCTGTCTGTCTGTCTGTTTGTCCGCTAAAACTTTAACATGCCCCATACCCTCTGATTGGTTGGAGCTATGACTTTCATATTTCACATGTGTATTCCTTGTGACAAGACCTTTCTTTGGGTACCACCATATTTGACCTTTAGACCTTGACCTTGGAGTTTGACCCAGTTTTGCAAAATTTTACCGAACATTATCCTTTGCCATAACTTTTGAACAATTGGTTCTAGGGCTTTCATACTTCACGTGTGTAATCCTTGTGACAAGACCTTTCTTTGGATACCAACAACTTTGACCTTTTGACCTTGAACAAGGAGTTTGACCTACTTTTGAAAAACTTGAACCTTGGCCATAACTTTTGAACAATTGGTGCTAGGGCTTTCTTACTTCACGTGTGTAATCCTTGTGACAAGACCTTCCTTTGGATACCAACAACTTTGACCCTTTGACCTTGACCTTGGAGTTTGACCTACTTTTGGAAAATTTTAACCTTGGCCATAACTTTTGAACGGTTGGTGCTAGGGCTTTCATACTTCACATATGTAATCCTTATGACAAGGCCTTGCTTTGGATACCAACAACTTTGACCCTTTGACCTTGACCTTGGAGTTTGACCTACTTTGGAAAATTTTAACCTTGGCCATAACTTTTGAACGATTGGTGGTAGGGCTTTCATACTTCACATATGTAATCCTTATGACAAGGCCTTCCTTTGGATACCAACAACTTTGACTTTGGAGTTTGACCTACTTTTGGAAAACTTTAACTATGGCCGTAACTTTTGAACAATTGGTGTTTCGGCTTTCATATTTCACCTGTGTATTTCTTGGAAGAAGGCCTTTCCTTGGGCACCATTAATTTTGACCATTTGACCTTGATGTTTGACATACTTTTGAAAAAAATTTTAACCTTTTCCATATCTATTCAATGGTTGCTGCTAGGGCTTTCATATTTCACAGGTATTCCTCGAGACAAAACCTTTCTTTGGGTACCAACATATTTGATTTGCATTTGAGAAAGTTTAACCTTGCTATAAGTTGCCATACGGGGGCAACAGTGTTTCACAAACACATCGTGTTCTTTTAATTATACAAGAATTTTCATCAATTGATATCTTTTCAAAACCCCTGGTAATACATGCTGACTTTTTGTCTATGAACATCTGATGGCACTATAATCTTAAATTAAGAATATCTTGAAAAATTATCAGTAGGTAAGGTATGTTGCATATGTCCTTAACTGCAGCAGAATTAATCTGATTATTCTAAACAATCCTACTCTGATGTGCCATGGATATTCCTTTTGTTTTATTCTCAAGAGCAGAATATTCTGATCATGCAAAGTCTGTCCAGTTTTCCCCCCTTTCTTGAGGGTGATTCTTATTAAGATAAAAGTCATGTAATATGAAGATGAGCACTCAGCCTTAGTGTTTTGATTTTCGATTTTATAGCAATTATCTTATTTCCATAGATAATCTTTTTTTTTCAATAATCAATAATTGGTATATATTATTAACAATTGAGTATTCTGTGGATTTCATCACTCCAGTTTGATTTTTTAATGTAATAAAACATCCTTAAAACTTACTAAACTACAAGTAATGACAATGATCAGAACCTAGAAAAACTTAATTATCACCTAGAAAACAAAAAGCCTAAATTTGAGAACTTATTTCACAGTCAAAAAATAAAAAAGTTGGGCCCCAACAAACAATCTTGATCTCATGAATGCATATTGCAAACTGAAACAGAAAATACTATGAAATAAAGACAATAAAAAATGAATTCTCATACTTTAAATCTAGTTAGTTTTGGATGCATGTAAAAAAGAAAACTTGATTATTGTAGTAAAAAGGAACATTACAAACATGAGCTGATCAGGATGATATTTTGTTATTCTGCTATTCTTTGTTATTGATATGATTTATTGCTGATGTGTTACACTTACATAAAGTGTAATAAACCAGAGTCAATCAACATACATGTAAATTTAAATTTGAGAGGTAATTTATTTTTTTCTTTCTGTATAAATTATAGAAATGGATTACAAGTAAGGCCTTTCCAATTACATGTAATCAATTATTCAAGCATGTATAAGCACTGTATCACTGTAGACTCATGTGATGGGAAAAAAAGGAAGAGAATTCTAGTTTAGGAGTCAAAAGACTCAAAAATTATACATGTATGTTATGTTTTTCTAACTATACAGAAGATTACTACAGAATTAAAGGAGAAGGGAAAGTCCTCCAGAGCCAAGCCTGCTGATGTAATTGACCTACTTTCTAAACATTTTGAGGGAAAACTGTCTCCTGTGGAGTGGGATGAATTAAAGCTTGATCCAGGTGTGTGGTTTTTACCTAATCTAAGGTCAAGATGGAGTTATGTTACTTTCCTTTCTCAGCAATCCAGCTAAAGTTTTAAAAGGAGGTTCATTCCCAAGTAACTCTAAGCCCTACCTGGACCAAACTTGCATGGATGATGCATTTAGGGATGTATTCTACCAAACATGCTCTGCATACTGCATTTAGCCTAGCTGCAATAATGTAGCCCTCTCCGATTTTTTTAAATCTGATATTAAAAAAAAAAAAAAAAAATCGGAGAGGGCTACATTATTGCAGCTACATTTAGCCTAATTTTTTGGATGACAGAACAGATTTAAGCTTATAGAACGGTTCCATTTTCAAGTAACTATAAGCCCTACCCTGACCAAACAAGTATATGAATGAAGTTGTATATCTCTAAGAATATACACTACTACACTTGCTTTAGATGCTGCATCTGACATTAATATTCCAAATGAATCACCAGGTCAAAGTTTTTTCACGGGTTCATTCCCAAATAACTACTAGTATGAGCACTACCCTGACTGAACTTCCATGGATGCTTCTTGGAATGCACATTTTCAGATTTGCTTTGAATACTCCATCTGAATGACATGTATCTTTTCCAGATGAGTGACCAAGAAAAATGTTTTGGACCAGGTCCATCTTAAAAGTAATTCCTTATCTAACCAAACTTGAATGAATGTTGCATCTAGGGCTGGAACATCACCAGACTATTTTCAGATGTTGCAACTGATCTGTTTTTTCTTTATAAGGGGTCAGGTTTAAGTTTTTGAGTAAGTCTATTCCCAAGCAAATTAACAAACTTGTATGGATGATGCATTAAGAGGTGCAAATGCATATTAAGACACTTTAATGACAAACTTACACGTAACTAATGGATCTTAGTGAACATATCTGTTACCGTTCTATGTATTATTTATAAATAATTTAATTTTGTTTGTATTCTAGCCTCTGATTGGTTAATATCCAAAAAGGAACACAAATTTTTTCTGTATAACCTGGTTTGGTATGGGGACCCCCCCCCCTGACAACCAGCTGAATCATCTGTACATGTATCCATACAATCCTCTCATTTCCAGTCCTCAAGATTCATGGAAAATTCCAGATTTAATAAATGTACCTTTAACTTCAAACAATAATTAATTCTATCTTACCACATGTAAACAAACAACAAGGCTGCTAGGCCTATGTATCAGTTTTTACCTCCCCTAGCTTCCCATCACTTCCGTTACTTCCGTTACTACAGTTGTATTATTGAGCGGCAAATTTGAACTTATAAAAAGCAACGAAATTTTACACCCATAGTTATTTAATGATTTTAAAATTAAATTATAATGAATGACTCTAATTCTTGGCCAAATTATTCAAGTATAACCTGGTTTGGGTCAGTTTACGCTGATTTATAATCCGCTTCGTGGATTATAAAGCATAAACTGACCCAAACCAGGTTATACTCGAATAATTTGGCCAAGAATTAGAGTCATTCCTAAAATAACATTCATTGTGAGCTTTGTAATCTTTTATTATGTTTATTAAATTTATCTGACACATCTAGATTTTTACTTTTGTACTCAATGGACAGCTACAGTACTGTACATTTGCATATTAGGGGAATGTTTAAGGAGAAATTTTGAATTGGATGCAGAAAAGTAATTTTATGAAAAAAATGTTTACCAGTAAAGCAGTAGTTTTTGGAAGCATTCATTATTCTTCATACACTGTATTTCATACACAAGTTACTCGAGAACTATAATTAATATTGCTATATTGGTGTTTTCTTGTTGTAGATGGTGATTTTTATGTCAGCAGTGAATCAGACCACACCCCTAGCTCCTATCTCAGAACTATATTACCTAAATGGAAGAAGCTGGTCAAGTCTAGTGACCTAAAACCTGGCTCTCCATTGGTTCTCATTATAACATCCTCTGCCATCCGAGCAGTTCAGCTCAACAGGTACACAACATTCAAATTATCATAGCGTCCTCTGCCATCCGAGCAGTTCAACTTAACAGGTACAAACCTTCAGATTGTTTGATTGTTTACAGCCAATTGATTAGATAGTAAAAGGTAAATGTATGAAAGAACATTCTAACAAAATATTGAGAGTTAGAGGGTAATTCTTTTAAAGTAAATAAATGTAATGTCAAAAAAAAAAATATTTAAATTTTTGTGGAAAAGACTTGAAAGTGTACTTCCTGGAGTTCAGCATTAATATTTGATTACTGCCTTTTGTAGTAACCTTATTTTCATGTTTTCTCATTCAAAGAAGATTTGCACAAGACTTGAAATAGTAAAAAAAAATTATTTAAATTTAACTATTTCTGGCCATTCTTTGTGAAGCACTGGTTTCACATATAAATGTTTGAAGATACTTGCAGTTCTTTTTTTTTCTTCTTATATTGGTTGCATATGAATTCATGTACTATAGTTTGTTGGATTAATATTTCAGCACAATCATTTATAGTGTGCGAATTTCTGAACAATGCCAAAATATGAATTTACAAGAATATAATTGAATTCATGGAAATATTCATAGCTTTTATTCATGATTTTGCCAATTCATGACTTGTACTTTTGTGCTAAATGGTGATACATGTACACTGCATGATAAGTTTGAAATTCCTTTTTTGTAGGGATATAACAGATTTCAAAACAGAAGAGTGCAAATGTGCAAAACTGTTCGCAAAACACTTCAAAGTAAGACATGTTTCTGACAAAATATTTTTTACAATGTACTCATGATATTGCTCCAAGGATATATCATCAGACTCCTAAAGTATTTAAGGAGCTTATGGGGATAACTTCCATTTTATGATATCCCCTACAAAGAAAGTTTTGAGGGATACATGGGAATTATTTTTTCTGGCCTACCATGCAATCATGTCATAGTCCCAGCATATCTTTAAGGCAAATACATTCCCCATAAAAAGAGTAACCTGATAAAATTGGCAAATGCATTCCCAAGAAAAAGAGCAACCTGATAAAATGAATATTAATTGTAGTACACCACTGTCTGTATTATGACTAGAAACATTAAAACATAGAATATTGTAGATATGTACATAATCTTGTTCATTGCAGATAGAGGAACAACAAAAGTACCTCTCCAAGAATATCTGTCACATAGGACTGGGTACCCCAAACAGAATCTGCAGCCTCATCAAAAATGGTAAGTCTTAGACTCAGTATTTCTCCTAAATGTCACCATAATCACTTACATTAAAGGAGAAACATAGTTTGCATACCTCTGGTAAACGGGATTTTATCTGAAATGATAATTTTCTAAGAAAAGGTGGAGATGAAATAAAATTCAAGCAAATTTAAGACTTATCATCAATTTCATAAATAAAACAAAGTAATTTATCAATGTTAGAGTTATCTCTCTTTAGCAGAGGTCCATTCCACCTTAAGATCAGCTAAAACTTGCATACTCTAAGAGAGTATAGTGTTGGACTGGAATTCTTTGGGGTTTTTTTATCTTCCAGGTTCGTTACACTTAGTGGAATGAGTGTAGTTTTGGAAGAGAATTCTTTATGTTTTTGTTATCTTTCAGGTTCGTTACATTTAGACAGTGTAAAGAGTGTAGTGTTGGACTGGAACTGGAGAGATAAGAAATTCAAACGAATGGCAGACATTATAGATCTCCGTAAAGACTTGGTGGTGTTATTGCAGACTTATATTATTCCACATATCCATGCCAACAAATGTAAAATAGGCATCCTCTGATTAAACTCACTATTCTTTTAATACATGTACATGTATGTTTGTTTTACTTGCATGAACAACTGCAACTTGAAATTTTTATGTTATAAAAGAACATTTCTGACAGATGATCATTTTTCAAGTACTGTATATCCAATTGCAAATATTACCTCCATTCAGGAATTTCTCGGTTTACAGTACACCACTTGTTATTGAGAAGGCATTGCATTTTGCTTTAATGATTTTTTACCAGTATGTTGAGTTTTATTTCAGTATTTTATTACCTCCAAATATGCCCTATTCAAAGCTGTAGATTATTCAGCCAATGTACTTTTACAAATACTAGTTCTATGTTAAAATTACAGTAATATACTCAATTTATACCCCCCCCCCCTAAAATAGAGTTTGGGGGTATATAGAAATCACCTTGTTCATCTAGCTGTCTGTCCGTGCAATTGTGTCTGGTATATAACTTTGTAATGGAGAATCAATGAAAGCTCATACTTGGTACAAAGATTGCTTAAAACCTGAGGATGTGTCTTGACTTTGACTCAAGGTCATTTCAGGAACTTCAAGGTCACTGTCAGAAAAAGTATATAATTCGTTTCTGGTTAAACCTCCTATTGGAGATGGAAGTTCATGCCTCAAACAAAGATTGCTTATTACCTAAAGATATGCCATGACCTTGATCCAGGGTCATTTGCTCAAGTTCAAGGTCATTTTTATAAAAAAAAAAGGTTTATTTCTTGTTCTGACTCTATCTTGTTTTGGATAACGTTGGAGGCTCCTACTTATCACAAATACTCCATATGACCTTAGGTTATGTACCGACCTTGACCCAAGGTCATTCCAGGAAGTTCAAGGTCACTGGGAAAAGGCTATTATTTATGTCCAGTCTATAACTCTTAAATGGAGGCCTCTTAGAAGTTGATACTTGAACAAAGATTATGACTTAAAGGTGTGTCGTGTTGGTCATTTTGGAAAGTTCAATGTCACTGACATCTTTTTATTTGTTTGTATTTTGTTTCCAGTTCATTACTCTCTAATAGATAAGTATTGGAAGTTGAAACTTCAAAGAAAGATTATTTGTGAGCTGAAACTGTCATTACCTTGACCCAAGGTCATGATGGCAAGTTACATGTAGAGGCCTCTGTCAGATCCACAATTTCTAATGGAGAAACTGTGGATGTTCATATTTCACAAAACTTCTTTTAACCAAGGTCATTTTGGCAAGTTCAAGGTCCCATTTAAAAAATTGTATATACTAGGCACTTTAAAAAAAAATTGCAGCGGAGAAGGAAAAGGGGTGGGGATTAATTTTGCGAGCTTGTTCATGGTACCTTTAGTTTAAATTGACTTAAAATCATTTTGGCATCTTTAAAGTATTGTGTGTTATGCAAATAAGAATCAGTTCTTTGTGAGAAGGATAAAAGTACAATTAAGTAAGAATAAAAGTTGTGGGGAGGGGTCCCAAACACAGAAGATACGCATATGGATTGAAACTAAATGCTTTATTTTTATCTATATCTCTGTAAATGACAGTAAAACAATCAAAATGATTGGAGGTAAAATGTTAACACAAATAATTAACCTAAGTATATAAGGTATTACTTTACTCTGCAAAAAAGGAGGGGAAAAAAAAGAATGGAGACAAGCCTCTCAACAAACATGCATTGAAAAAAAAGATATACAGTTTGTAAGATTTAGATGAGGAATAACTGAGTTTGGTTTATTCTCTTCAACCACAGTTTAGCCTTGTGAATGTAGACACTTGTCTTCCTGAGCAAATCGTCCAAATGATGTGTTTATATTACATGTACTAAAATGTACCTTTTGAAATTGGTTTCAGTTCCCCACAAATTTGGTGAGAGATTATCTGTGTCTGGATTAAATATTAAATCTTGCATCTATAAGTCCTTAAAATGTAATTTCATAAAAATTTTAAGACTGAAGCACAAACAAATAGAAATATTAAAGTGATGTCATGATGTAAACATAGGTAATCAAAGATTATGAAGCTCACCTCGACGAATGTTATCTACATGTAAGGCAAATTTCACATCATATTTTTTTTCTAGTTTGGGTACATCCCAAGATCAATATCCATGCAAGTTTGATTTAATTATAGATCTGCTCAAAAAACTTTTGACCTGTTTAGTAATCAAGAAAGTTTTGGTCAGTTCCAACATCCAAAGCAAGTCTGCAAGTTTAATCATAACAGGCCATAATATTATATAGCTACTCCAAAAAATTACCCTGGTCACTCATCTGGAAAATGTACGTCAGATTCAGAATCCAAGTATCCATCCCTAGATACATCATCCATGCTAATTTGGTTAAAATATGGCTAAAATATGGCTAAAATTCACTCATGTGGAAAATCTAGGTCAGATCCAGCATGCCAAGCAAGTGTGGTAGTGTCCATCCCTGGATGCATCATCCATGAAAGTTTGGTCCGGGTAGGGCTTATAGTTACTTGGGAATGGACCTGCTCCTAAAACTTTAACCTGGTCACTCATCCGGAAAATCTAGGTCAGATCCAGCATCCGAAGCAAGTATGGTAGTGTCCATCCCTAGATGCATCATCCATGCAAGTTTGGTCCAGGTAGGGCTTATAGTTACTTGGGAATGAACCTGATCCTAAAACTTTAACCTGGTACACATCTGGAAAATCTACATCAGATCCAGCATCAGAAGTAAGTGTGGCCATGTCCATCCCTAGATGCATCATCCATGCAAGTTTGGTCCAGGTAGGGCTTATAGTTACTTGGGAATGGACCTGCTCCTAAAACTTTAACCTTGTCACTCATCCGGAAAATCTAGGTCAGATCCAGCATCTGAAGCAAGTGTGGTAGTGTCCATCCCTAGATGCATCATCCATGCAAGTTTGGTCAATGTAGGGCTTATAGTTACTTGGGAATGGACTTGCTCCTAAAACTTTAACCTGGTCACTCGTCTGGAAAATCTAGGTCAGATCCAGCATCCGAAGCAAGTGTGGTAGTGTCCATCCCTAGATGCATCATCCATGCAAGTTTGGTTCAGGTAGGGCTTATAGTTACTTGGGAATGGGACTTGCTCATAAAACTTTAACCTGGGAAGCCGACGCTAATGCCGACACCGACGCCGACGCCGGGGGTATAGCATAAGCTCATCTCGACTTCGTCGAGGTGAGCTAAAAATGGTTGTTTTTACCAGAACATAAAAACATAATAACTTGTACAGTAAGCACCAAAGACTTCCCTGGAATTGACTAGCATGGTTTGGGAACACATGTAAACTGGAGAGGCTTGTGAACATTGGTCACTTGATATCAGTATACTGAAAATTGTAACATGCCCTGCTCAAATGAATGATGCTCAAATGAAATTTACTATGCTAGCTTTATTTGGTTTTATTTAGCTTTTTGCTGTATTCAATTATTTTGAATCTATACTTGATTTTTATATTCATTGGTTGACAAGACAATAAGGCAAGTAATGCAGCAAACTAAAACACTTTATGAAAATGCAGTTAATCATTCTGAACTGACCTTCACACCCTCCCCCCCCCCAAACACACACACATAACATCAACAGTACATGTGTATTCAATGTATTTGTACCATTTGACACATGACTTATCTTGAGTCCTAGTAAAGCTACTTATATTTATCCCCCCTGTACATATATTTTGCAGTCTATGTATTTTGCCTATTTCTTACCAAATGTAAATATTCAGCATTAGTTACACACTTTGATATTTATAAAACAGGAAATTTCTTGCCCAATACCATATCCCTTGAGATAATTTTTGTCTTAAGGTGATTATTTTGATGTTGTAATTGACAACAGTTTGTATCCTGAGAGTAACAGTAAACACCACAATATACCGGTAATGTTATTTAAAGAATGTTAACGGTTTTTGTTTAAATCAAATATGACTGAGCAGACAAAAATGGCAGCAGATAAAGCAATGTATTAGTACTTGTGATTTCAACAATACCCTTAAAATACCAACAACAAAAAAACTTATAAAAATGAGAATCATTTATCACAGTTGTTGTTGTCTGAAGCAACCTTGATAATCATTCAGAACAAAATGAAAATAGAAACTAAAAGTATAGAATAAATCAGACAGTACTAACCACCTTCACAGAAGGCTTTATTCCTCATTCTCTGTTTAATAAATACAATCTGTTTATCATTAGTTAGCAAATCTGGGATCCTCTACAATTCTCTTATCCTGTCATACTGAGATCAGTAATTTAAAATTAAAGCTATAATAAATTAAGTAGATCCTCAAGTTAGTAGTGGTTTGGGCTTTCCTGGATAAAAGCCATCCGTATTGCCAACATCAGAGTTTTTGAACTTTGTGTATCTGTAGTCTATTGGCATACCTAGAGAAAGATAAAATGGGTTTTTTTTTTCTTGAAACAAGATGTGACTACATGTATTTAACATTACACCAAAATCTGATAGCCTAACTCATACTATGAAGAAATCATATATTACCTGCTATATACTCTTCATTTAGTACAGCTATATGTTGTAATGACTGATAATTCTCCCCAGTATATTACTTGCTATATATACTCTATAGTGTTGTAATGACTGATAATTCTCCCCAGTATATTACTTGCTATATATACTCTATAGTTAGTACAGTTATAGTGTTGTAATGACTGATAATTCTCCCCAGTATATTACTTGCTATATATACTCTATAGTTAGTACAGTTATAGTGTTGTAATGACTGATAATTCTCCCCAGTATATTACTTGCTATATATACTCTATAGTTAGTACAGTTATAGTGTTGTAATGACTGATAATTCTCCCCAGTATATTACTTGCTATATATACTCTATAGTTAGTACAGTTATAGTGTTGTAATGACTGATAATTCTCCCCAGTATATTACTTGCTATATATACTCTATAGTTAGTACAGTTATAGTGTTGTAATGACTGATAATTCTCCCCAAGTATATTACCTGCTACATACTCTTCAGTTGGTACAGCTACAGTGTTGTAATGACTGATAATTCTCTCCTAGGACATGTATATGTATATTACCTGCTATATACTCTATAGTTGGTACAGCTATAGTGTTGTAATAACTGATAATTCTCCCCCAGTATATTACCTGCTATATACTCTATAGTGTTGTAATGACTGATAATTCTCCCCCAGTATATTACCTGCTATATACTCTATAGTGTTGTAATGACTGATAATTCTTCCCCAGTATATTACCTGTTATGTACTCTATAGTGTTGTAATGACTGATAATTCTTCCCCAGTATTTAACCTGCTATATACTCTATTTTGTTGAAATGACTGATAATTCTCCCCCAGTATATTACCTGCTATATACTCTATAGTGTTGTAATGACTGATAATTCTTCCCCAGTATATTACCTGTTATATACTCTATTTTGTTGTAATGACTGATAATTCTTCCCCAGTATTTAACCTGCTATATACTCTATAATGTTGAAATGACTGATAATTCTCCCTCAGTATAATACCTGCTATATACTCTATAGTGTTGTAATGACTGATAATTCTCCCTCAGTATAATACCTGCTATATACTCTATAATGTTGTAATGACTGATAATTCTACCCCAGTATATTACCTGCTATATATTCTATAGTGTTGTAATGACTGATAATTCTACCCCAGTATATTACCTGCTATATACTCTATAGTGTTGTAATGACTGATAATTCTCCCCCAGTATTTAACCTGCTATATACTATATAGTGTTGTAATGACTGATAATTCTTCCCCAGTATATTACCTGCTATATACTCTATAGTTGGTACAGCTATAGTGTTGTAATGACTGATAATTCTCCCCCAGTAAGTGTTCATGTGTTTATCATGTTTAGGATCCTCCTCTTCGTGGTAGAAGAATGACCCCCAACTGTCGGACAAAATGTAGCATTCTTCTTCAGGATCTATCTCCAAGTTCACCTTTTGTAGAAAACAAATATAAAACAAAGCATGTGTGATTAATCATTCCATTTTTTAAACAAAATTTATGATCAATTTAAATGGTGTGTGATTTACTAATCATTTTGTAAATTATACTTATATGTATACATCAATGATTGGGGTTATGTTCAAACTATATAGCATATTGCAATATAAACCAAGATAACAAACATGCACATCATAAATCTAATATCAATCCAATATGCCTCAACGTGCTTCAACTATGTTTGCTATCTTGAGAATCCCAATAATTGACCAGGCCTTTTTTATTTAGCGTCTGAAACAACCAACCATCAGTTGGATGGATGAAACCTCTTTTTTGTGTCATTCTGAGTTTTACCTGGTGCTTAGGAACTTTGCGTTTTGGTTCTAGGACATCTCTCAAATCCGGATGGTAACCCTCTGCTTCCATTTCCTCTAGTACCAACACAACATCCCAGTTACCATATGTCTTAGCTGGAAAACTGTCTGAGCATAGACTGTCCCCGAAATACACAACCTACAAAGGAATCCAGCTTGAAGTTATAGATCATCACAAGACATGGAATACCTGGAAATCATTTTTCAGTTGTACAATGACCACTCCTCCCCCAGTCATCAAAATACAGTGAAACCTGTCTAATCTGACATGCACTGGGAGACCAATTTTGTGTCGGAATAGACAGGATGTAAGGGGCCCGTTTTACAAAAGAACTTAAGAATAACACTAAAAATTTCAGTTGACTGTAAAATCTTACGAAACTTATGTTTCTGTTTAAATTTTTTTGGCATAAAAATATTTTTCTAAATTCTTTTCAAAAAGATTAAAACCATTTTCAAAGAAATGCGAAAATGAAAGTTATTTGCATAAAAACATTTTGATCTCAGTCATAAGTTTTTTTGTAAAACAGGGCCCTGATTACACAGTGTAAAAAAAACACATACAAAATAGTAAAATTGGAATGAAGGCAAATGTCAGAATTTACAGTGAAATGGATTGCACAGGTGTTGGATTAGACAGTTTTCATTCTATAAAGGCATTTAAAAATTCATGTACATGTATAACATCATTAACAAAGTCAATAGTCAGATTTCCACATTTCTAATCTGTTGAACAGTAAAGGTATACAAACCTTTGGATCAGATTTCCCTGTCTGTTTAGACAGGAATTTCATCAGATCTGTCCAATTTCCATTGGAGTAAGTTTTGAATGGTTCTAGTTCATCAACATTACCCTTGTTCTCTCCATTTTCTAAGAACAATAATAACATCAACACATTACAGGAAATCTATTAAGAACATGACAATCTATTAAGAAATGTAAATTGCCCTTCTCCATAATTACATGTATATCCACTGAATATTTTTTTTCTTACCAATTAACTTAAATTTATTTTTTTCTGTGAAGAATCCTGGTTTTCTGGCATCAGTGAGGTAGACATCAAAATAGTTTCTCCAGTCTGACCTGTAGACAGATATTTTGTATGGATATACATTGAGCAATTATGCTTTGTACTAGATAACTGAGATGAACAGAAGCCTGTGATGCCTTGATGAAAACAATTCTTTGGAAAATTCACAATTTTTCCTCAGAAACTAGATCTTTAATACAGTTAAAACATTAAAAAATGTATCTACCATAGAGAAATACATTGATTCAACAATTTTTTAAAAATTTTTGACATTTAAAAAAAAAATAGTCAACTACCCCAGCACTGTTTCAATGACCATTCCTGCAAAATCTATGGCTGATGATGTCATGAGAAAAACAACTCGTTTATCTTCCTTTAAGTCTTTTAACCACTCTTTGACACCATTACTGCTGGGCTGTAGATATTTCCCAGGATTCTTCTTTACACTGGGGAAGAACCATCCTGCATTTTCTACATAATACAATCAAATACACACTGTTTCACATGAAATATGGTGACAAGTGACATCTGTTATAATCTGTATTGTTTTTCTAAATGATTGAATTTTCTAAATGATTGAATTTGCATTAACATCAAATTTCAATTCAAAATGAATGTTAATTTGTATGTTAATCAACCTCTTTTATGTGGCAAGAATGTGCACTGACAATTCTCCACTTTCATGCAGATGGCATACGGCATGTATGAACTCAAGATAAAAGAACCATGCACAAAGAATCAATTTGGAATTGAAATTTGTGTGAAATTAATGGCAAATAAGTGAGTTTGAACGATACATAATGAATTTATGAATCGATATACATGTATGATATACATGTAGGTATGAAGAATTAAGTTTCTAAAAAGTTTTATTTTTTTAAGAAAAGAATTTTTATAAACTGTTTCATGCAAGAGGAGAGAAAATCAATTACTTGCAAACTGAGTTGGTATATAGTTTTCTCCAAAAGCACCATAAATATCTTTCCAGAAGTCATATTTTTCACATGGTCCACCATTCTATTGAGAAATAAGTCTTATTATCATTAAATGATTATCAAATTCCAAGCTCTTTGATTAGAACAAGCAATTTATGACTATTATTCAAGCAAATACAGTCAAACCTCGTTATCTTGAACTCGATGGGACCGAAATAAAACTTCAAGATATTCACTTCAACATATCCATGGTATTCGAGATATTCGTGTTCGAGATACCGAAGTTCAACTGTATTCTAAAAGTGTATGAAACAAAGACATTTGAAACTAGAATTAAAAGTAAAAAGACCATAATCCAGGATAAATACAGAAAAACAAGCTAGTAGTAGCAAAGTGGCAGTGACAAACAATTTTGATCATTATAAACATAATTCTTTAAATCTGATAAGTTCATAATACATTTTAAAACTAAAAGGAATGAAAATTCCCTGTGAATTCATAATAGTGTGTTTGTTGAAACCATAATTTACTCTAGTGTTAAAATGAGCTTCAACTATAAATAAATTTTTCAGATAAATAATTGCAGTAATGTGTAACTTCAGAATCACCTCTTTATCCAAAAAATCCACAATATGAGCACAACACACAAGGGCTGGGATGTCAAAGTAATTCTCGAAGAAACGGAATTTCATGTCTTCTACAAGAAAGAAATTCTCAATTTATAATCTCTCAAGCACAGAAAAAATAAAGTTTCGAAATAGACATTTCCACAAACATGCTTACTACCATGACTCTTGACATAACCTATGTGTACCTACAACTGTGACTCTAGACATGACCTATGTGTACTTACTGCCATGACTCTTGACATGACCTATGTGTACTTACTGCCATGACTCTTGACATGACCTATGTGTACTTACTGCTGTGACTCTTGACATGACCTATGTGTACTTACTGCCTTGACTCTTGACATGACCTATGTGTACTTACTACCTTGACTCTTGACATGACCTATGTGTACTTACTGCCTTGAGTCTTGACATGACCTATGTGTACTTACTACCTTGACACTTGATATGACCTATGTGTACTTACTGCCTTGACTCTTGACATGACCTATGTGTACTTACTACCTTGACACTTGATATGACCTATGTGTACTTACTGCCTTGACTCTTGACATGACCTATGTGTACTTACTACCTTGACTCTTGACATGACCTATGTGTACTTACTGCCTTGACTCTTGACATGACCTATGTGTACTTACTACCTTGACACTTGATATGACCTATGTGTACTTACTGCCTTGACTCTTGACATGACCTATGTGTACTTACTACCTTGACACTTGATATGACCTATGTGTACTTACTGCCTTGACTCTTGACATGACCAATGTGTACTTACTACCTTGACTCTTGACATGACCTATGTGTACTTACTGCCTTGACTCTTGACATGACCTATGTGTACTTACTACCTTGACACTTGATATGACCTATGTGTACTTACTGCCTTGACTCTTGATATGACCTATGTGTACTTACTGCCATGAAGCTTGACATGATCTATGTGTACTTACTGCCTTGACACTTGATATGACCTATGTGTACTTACTGCCTTGACTCTTGATATGACCTATGTGTACTTACTTCTGTGACTCTAGATATGACCTATGTGTACTTACTTCTGTGACTCTAGATATGACCTATGTGTACTTACTACCTTGACTCTTGACATGACCTATGTGTACTTACTGCCTTGACTCTTGACATGACCTATGTGTATACTTACTGCCATGAATCTTGACATGATCTATGTGTACTTATTGTTGTGACTATTGACATGACCTATGTATACTTACTGCTGTGACTCTTGACATGATCTACGTGTACTTACTGCCATGACTCTTGACATGACCTATGGCCTCCTGAAAGTGTTCCCAGTGTAAATCTTCACCATAAACAGATAACAATTCCTCTTTTTCCATCATTCGGGTTCCATGACTACACCTTAAAAAATTGGAAAACAACACACTGAAGAATAATTCTAGAAAGATTCTGACAAATGGCTACCAATTTGTACTTAACAGGGTCTACCTCTAAAGATTTATACAAAAGGAAAGAAAGAAAGAGGATGTTAACAAAGTAGTTAATTTTACTTGAAAAACTAAATTTCCTTCTTTTGTGATGAACACTGATATGTAGCTATTCAATTCAATTTACTGACATCACCATGTTGGCATACAGTCAAGATATAACAAATCAAATGATAAACAGAAAACTGAATTATAACATAATGGCTACAGCATGCAAAACAAATTTACACAATTCTTTATAGTACATGGATTTGTTTTCTCTGCATAAAGTATCTATATTTAAATAGCAACACATGTACATACATGTACATGGATTTGTTTTCTCTGCATAAAGCATCTATATCTAAATAGCTACATATGTACATAACATTTAACTTTTGTAGCATTTTAATCACATGGGTTAACTATTTCTTTAAAGGGTTCAGTACCACAGTATAGTTTATCACTAAAAATATCACAATATTGAAATTGAAGTTTGTCATACATAGGTCAGTAAAGTACAAAATGCTTTCAACAAATAATTTACAAGCATAGCATATACATTTTTGTTAATGATAATTGGATTACAATATCTGCCTGTTTCAATAAATAGTGAATTTGCACTAATTCTTAATTTTGTTAGCTGTGTTTGTTTTCAAAGAAAATCTTTTAAGTAATTAATCCTGCAATTTATACTTGGTACAATTTAAGGCTTTATCATAGAAAAAAAGTTTTCCTGAGTTTGACAATGAAATTTTCCTCTGTTCATAGATCATGTCAACAAAAGTTTTATCTACCACTTTAAAGTCTAAACTCGTTAAAACTATAGCTCTTCAGACAATTGCCCAAGTGAGCTGTTCGATTAGATACTTATAATCAATAGTTCATTGTTAAATTAAAACAAGGAATTTATGGCATATTGTACTCAAAATATTTTCTGAATATCAAAGCGACAAAAGAAGATGAACATGTGTAAAGATGACTTCAATGTTTTTCAATTTTCATATACATGTACAACAAAAGTATTTATTGTAATGTTAACTAATTTTAAAAATATTTAGGAAATATCTAGATTTGTAAGCATCTCAAGTATGTGGATATTTATAATGGAACTTGTTTCTTAATTGCTTTGCATTAAAGACTTTAAAAGGTTTATGAATTTGAAATAGAAATTTTCAATCAGGAACATTAGTCTTTGCAGACTGGTATTCAGTTGATGATTTACAAAATTAAAAAAAAATTGTGTATAGTAGTTGTTTTGCATTATTTTTTATGGGAAATATATAATAACTTACTTGAGGATTTTTCCATCATGACCCAATTTGAGAATGTTGCCCTTTTCTGAGTCAAGGAATAAACCTTTGCATCTGTTAAAAAAAATAAAATGAAATGAGCTCACCTCTGAAATAACCCTAAATCATTATGTTAGCTATAAAAATCCTATTTTTACAATGTGCTTTTAATCCTTGTATATCTACCATTTACTCTATAAAATTATGTAAAACTCATACCAATAAAGTTTATCTTTTATATGGAAAGTTCATACAAAGTGTATGCAACCTTTGACTAAAAAAAAACCCAAAAAGTCTTCAAAACACTTTTAAAAACTTTTAACAAATACTTTAAATTAAAATTCTGGCAAAGTCCATGTGAATCTGATTCTATCTTCTATATATCAAAACTCACACAATAAAGTCTTTGTGAACATCAAATTTACTCACAGAAAATCCTTGTGAAGGCTGAGTTTGTCTTTTATTTTGGGGTCATATCCCTGCTTAATGAGACTTTCACATAGGGAGTCATAGGCAAGCTAAAAATAAACAATAAATCGGATAATTACTCAGATATCACCAACCCTCTCCAGTATAATAAAATCAAATTACCAGTAAGCATTTCTTATACAAGGCAATGTTAACTTTTGGTGCAACTTAATATATAGGATCTTCACTTGATACAAAAGATCTTTAAAACATTTAAATGTTCCAATTAAAACAGTTTTAATTTTTTCTCCGAATTTATAATCGCACCTTGAAACTAAATGTTGACCACATCAGACCCTGAGAAGTCAAAACTGAACTTACAAAATATGAAGATACATGTGTACTTCAAATAAAAATCTGTGCACATTAATTGGATAATTAATCCATCAGATGTGGGTGTAACCTTTTAGATTCTAAAGTTTAGGCCAAACTAATATCCTCAATATCAAACTTACACTGTACATGGGGTTTTTACTTAATAATCTAATGAAATTGGAGCTTTGTTGCTTCTAGAAGAGGAATATCATGGATCATTTCCTTTATAATCCAATCAAAAAATTTTGACCTAATTTTTGCCCAAAGCCTCTTTCCACTCATCTGATGTATCTCTGATTTTAACGTTAGAATATCTAAAATTTTCAGTGGGAAAGGTACATAGTAGGGTTCATGTATATTGCGTATGTCCTTAATATGACCAATAGACGACTTTCACACTCATAAGAGTTATCTCTCTAAGTCTGCGTAACGCTCATATTTGTTATAATTTACCTGTAAATATTTTAAACTTTAAAACGTTTTCAGACTATTTTGTAATATTTCAGTATTGCCATACCATATAGGGCATGAAAGAAAACATAACGAACATATACATACAGATTTAATTTGCAAGACACTGCCCCATAAGTAAATAAGTAATAAAGAAGTAATCTTGGTAATATAGGGGGTTACACCAGTTGACCACAGTTTGACCCCGAAAAGGGAAATAACTTTTGTAAATGTGACAGTCATGCATGGTCCTGTTGTTCTTGAAAAGAATTTTAGATTTTTCCCCTTCATATTCTCATGTGAAAAAGAATTGGCTTCAATAAATCAGATAAATTAAGAAGAAAAAAAATTCAAACTGTGATACTTTTGTAGACAATAATTGTTCATTTGATAGCCTTGGCCCATCCTCACAACGTCAGGGGTCCTGATTCAGCACGTTGCCTTTGGACGACGACGTGTTGCCTCAGGACCCCTGACGTTGGGAGGATGGCACACCATGACCGAAAATGAAAGTAGAAAGTACGTGCTATCGCAAACTCAAAAATTATTTCTTTCATCATGAAACAATAATTTTCTTACAGTCTTACATTCATTAATTCTACCAGTCTATATTTTGCCAGTGTATGATCCAAATCAAATCCAACTGCATCATAGTCGGCCAAACAAAATTTGTCATCCACGTCTGTCATTGCCTCTGTTGGAAGAAAACGAGAATCACGAACCCGATAGATTCTGTTCCCACATATCATCGATCGACGAATGAGACCACGGACTACGCCTGACAACATCGGCCCCAAACAAACGTCAGGCTCATCGTCATCTGACTTACCGTCTTACCGAGTATCGACTGGTCTTACAATATGATAGACGACATATACAAAGAGAATATCGAACCCGACTGATATTGACATAATTACTGTAAACCAACTTTTATTCGTGTGCGAGAAATATTCGCGAGTTTCTCGAACTTCATTTACTCGCGAATATTAATAGCCGCGAACCATTTATTTTACTTTGTATTTGTAGAGAATGTTTACTGAGTCGCAGAAATTAATCGTCGCGGATTGATTTTAAACTGACGAATCGCGAATAAAAAATGACGCGAATAATAGTTGGTTTACAATATATCAGATTCAAAGCGTTAGGATGGAAGGTGTCCCATTCTTCCTGTGATTTAACAGCAGGTGCATAACTGTTGGATATACATTTTCAACAGTGAAATACTGTGATTTATTTATTGAATAAAAGTGATATTCTCTCACAGTGTGAAAGGATACCAAAATGATATTCTCTCACAGTGTGAAAGGATATCAAAGTAAGTAAAAAATAATTTCTGGCCTGTCATAAAATAGAGATAGTAACAATACATCTTGATAGAGCTAAAACTGCAAATTTCTTCCCAAATAAGTTGCTAAAATCCGTGCTATGTAATGTTTTCAATCTCACAACTGCTATGCTATGACGTTTCAACCGCACAACTATGACATCAAGCCTATGACACTGTGTTAAGAAAAGACAGAGGCAAAGGGAAAATCAAAGAAAATGTAATAAACAGAAAATTCAATGTTTTGTAGATGAATATGGAATTTATTTCACTCATGAGACAGGATTTTTTGATATTTTCACTCGTGCTTCGCACTCGTGAAAATATAAAAAAATCCTGTCCCACTCGTGAAATAAATTCCATACTCATCTACAAAACATTGAATATCCTCTATATACCTCTAGACATGTCTAGAATTGGATTGTTTGTCGGGTAAAACTTACAACATATATTAATTCTACATTAAAAGATTTTTTTTTTTAAATTGAAAAAAAAAGCATTCGATCATTTTCAAAAGGTTTTAACTAAGAAAATTATATGTAAATTTAGAATAAGTGCAAATAATCTCAAAATTGAAAGTGGAAAATATGAAAAAGTTGAAAACATGGAGGAACAGAAAACTATCCTTGAAAGAATTAATAAAAGAACTGGACTAGAATGGTGGAAGATGAGATTCATTCACCGATTGAATGTCCCTTGTTTAACCAGATGTTTTGTTATGACATTGACTCAAGGTCATTCTGGCAAGTTCATGGTAGTGACAGAAAAAGTGCAAAATTCTAGTCTATAAATTTGTGTAACCAGAGAGTAGAAAATTGCAACGGACCAGACCAGGATTCAAACTCGGCCCCCTGAACCTCCAGTCGGGTGCTCTACCAACTGAGCTATCTGGCTACCGGCGATTGATCCCATCTGACCACCACATTCCTCCCTCCTTAAAGGTCTTCAGTCCCCGAAGACACCAACCCAGGCTCTTCCCTGGCAGGTCTTTCACCTGTCACTTCCAGGGCATGGCACGACACCAAATGTAATGGGAGAGAAGAAAAATGCGACGGATCAGACCAGGATTAGAACGGGCCCCCTTAATCTCCAGTCAGGTGCTCTACCAACTGAGCTATCTGGCTACTGGCGATTGAACCCGTCTGACTGCCACATTTATAATGGAGAATCATTTGAATATCATAATCCATACAAATATTGTTTATGGCCTGAGGGTGTGTCATAACCTTAATTCAAGGTCATTCCTGCAAGTTCAAGATCACTGGAAGAAAAAATATAAAATTCTTGTCTGGGCTATATGTGTGCAACTGAGAATCATTAGAAGCTCATACTTAGTACAAAAATTGAGGGTGTGTCATTACCTTGACCCAAGCTCATTATGGCAAATTCAAGGTCACTGACATAAAAATCCATTACAAGTCTATAATTTTCTAATAGAGAAACATTGGATGTTCACATTTTACTAAAAGATTACTTATGACCAGAGTATGTGCATTTTTTTTAATCAATTGAAGGTCTTTTTGGCAAGTAAAAGGTCACATTTACAACATTTGAATTGGCACTGTAAAAAAAACAAGAGGCCCATGGGCCTTGAATCGCTCTTCTGATTAACTGTACAACCTATCACTTCTATTTGAAGCCTCGAAGTATCCTGTATATTTACATAAACCCTTGAAATTCCAATTCACACTCTGAGAACCCAAGATGATTCTAAGCCAATTAGTACCTGAGAGTTGCTCATGGTGACCTACTTATCACTTGTCATTCTCTGAGGACCCATCAACTAAGTTTGATGATTCTAAGCCAATTAATACCTAAAATATTTTTTAAAATTATAATCATAAAATTTTATAAGTGGGTCAAAGTGACCTACTTTTCAATTGTTTTACTCCAAGGACCCAAGATGCATCAACTGACAAAGTTTGATGATTCTAAGCCAATTAGTACCTGTAATATTTAATTAAAGCCATAAATTTTCAAAAGTAGGTCACCGTGACCTACTTTTCAGTTGCTGTACTCCGAGGACCAAAGATACATCGACTGACAAAGTTTGATGATTCTAGCCAATAAGTACCCAAAATATTTAATTACAGCCATAAATTTTCAAAAGTAGGTCACAGTGACCTACTTTTCAGTCAACCTACTCCGAGGACCAAAGATGCATCAACTGACAAATTTTGACGATTCTAAGCCAAATAATTCCTGAAAATATTAAATACAGCCATAAAATTTCAAAAGTAGGTCACCGTGACCTACTTTTCAGTTGTTGTACTCCGAGGACCCAAGATGCATCAACTGACAAAGTTTAATGATTCTAAGCCAATTAGTACCCGAAATATTTGATTAAAGCCATAAATTTTCAAAAGTAGGTCACCGTGACCTACTTTTAGTTGTTGTACTCCGAGGACCCATGACGCATAAACTGACAAAGTTTTATGATTCTAAGCCAATTAGTACCCGAAATATTTTATTAAAGCCATAAATTTTCAAAAGTAGGTCACCGTGACCTACTTTTCAGTTGCTGTACTCCGAGGACCAAAGATACATCGACTGACAAAGTTTGATGATTCTAGCCAATAAGTACCCAAAATATTTAATTACAGCCATAAATTTTCAAAAGTAGGTCACAGTGACTTACTTTTCAGTCAACCTACCCCGAGGACCAAAGATGCATCAACTGACAAATTTTGACGATTCTAAGCCAAATAATTCCTGAAAATATTAAATACAGCCATAAAATTTCAAAAGTAGGTCACCGAGACCTACTTTTCAGTTGTTGTACTCCGAGGACCCAAGATGCATCAACTGACAAAGTTTAATGATTCTAAGCCAATTAGTACCCGAAATATTTGATTAAAGCCATAAATTTTCAAAAGTAGGTCACCGTGACCTACTTTTCAGTTGTTGTACTCCGAGGACCCATGACGCATAAACTGACAAAGTTTTATGATTCTAAGCCAATTAGTACCCGAAATATTTTATTAAAGCCATAAATTTTCCGAAAGTAGGTCACGGTGACCTACTTTTTAGTCGACCTACTCCGAAGACCCATGACGCATCAACTGACAAAGTTTGATGATTCTAAGCCAATTAGTACCTGAAATATTTAATTATAGTCATATAAATTGAAAAGTAGGTCACGGTGACCTACTTTTCAGTTGACCTTTTTTGAGGACCCAAGATGCATCAACTTACAAAGTTTTATGATCATAGGACTTAAAATGTCCAAATTATGCCTCTAAAATGCTTTGAAATCGAATGCCTGCAAAGTTCAAAAAGTAGGTCACTGTGACCTACTTTTTAATAATTATGTTTTTTGGCCCCAAGATGCATCATCTTACAAGATTTAATGATTCTAAGCCTCCCCGTATTCGAATTAATGACCTTAATTATTTTAAAAAAGATTAGCCATTAAATTCAAAAAGTAGGTCAAGGTGACCTACTTTTTAGTTGACGTACTTTGAGGACCCAAGATGCATCAACTGACAAAGTTTGATGATCATAGGCCTTAAATTGTTCAAAATATGCCTCAATCATTTTGAAAAAGAATGGCCGCAAAATTTAAAAAGTAGGTCACCGTGACCTACTTTTGAGTCAACATGATATGAGGTCCTTAGATGCACCAACTGACAAGATTTGATGATCCTAGTCCTTATAGTAAGCAAAATATCAACATTTTAATAAAATGTAATTTTTGGTCAACTTTGAAGTGACCTTGAGACCACGCCCTTTGCCCCAGGGTAAATCCCCGTGCAAATTTTAATCTACAACATATCCTCATCCTTTTGTGTAAGTTTGGTGATAATCTGCCCAGTGGTTCTTGAGAAGAAGATTTTTTAGCAACCAGTACTTTTGTTTCTATTTTCCTAATTATCTCCCCTTGTTAAAGGGTCACAACCCCAGTTTTAGTATAAACGGGAGCCCTTGGGCCAAGGATACCCTGTGACAAATTTGACAATAATTGGCCAAGGGGTTCTTGAGTTATGGCCCATATTCTAAAAAGTTTACGCACACCGCACAAATGGCCATAGCATTAGCTCTTTGAGCCTTTGGCTCAGAAGAGCTAAAAATGCAGCAGGGGTATTATTTGTGAGGTTACTTACAGTACCTCTAGTTAAATAGCAATCTAATTAAAATTAGATGTTCCGAATCCGCTACCGCTTCTCAAACATCTAACAACATCCCATTAGGGGTCACGTCAGAGCGACCTCTCGATTATGAATAGATATTTTGGCCAATCAGATTCAACCTTCTGTATACGATTCTAAAATTAGTTCGACGGCCACATCTTAACATTATTGATGCTCAGTAGACTGTCTTACGTTGAATTAAAGTAATTTTGAACGTATAGTCCGCCAATCTGCCATTCTTACCTAAATAATGCAAACGAAAATGCACAAACTACATGTATACGTCTATATATTCCGCAGGTCACATTCATATTTAGCACGGTCTTTACCATGCATATTTTGTTTACTACGAAACCCCTCGGGCGTT